TAGTGTCATGCTTTAAATCACATGTGTTCAAACAGAATGTGCTCTTTGAGTAGTAATTTATAGTGTTTTCTAGTAAATCTTGGATAACTTAGATTTAAATTTGTGATAAAAGATTATTTGATTTCCAGTTATATTTCCTCTAAATCCTGTCTCCCTTATTTCTGTCTTGTCCTTTGTATTGTAATATATTTGCCTGAGTAGATCCTTGAATTTTTAGCTTTAAATCGTGTCATAAATCTGGTGTCTATTTCTATGCATGCGTCTTGTCAGCCTAGCAACTTAAGGAACTATCATAGAAAGGCAAATTTTCCAGTAACTGAGCATACCTTTGTATCTTCCTAATGCATGGAAGAGTATAGTATGTCACACATAAGTGTAATGTTGTCAATATATTGTAATGAATAACTGATGTTTCATTGGAAATGTTTAAACTGACCTGCCACATCACAAGTTACTGTTCTCTTGGCAATCAGCCATCCATGGAACATGGGGACAGATGTCAGTGCTTGCTATACTCAGAGCTTTTGCCTCTAACCATTGCATGCGTGTGTATAATAGATGGAAAATTTAGGATTTGAAAGGAGGGAATGATTGAAGCAGAGCCATAGGCTTTAGATTGAGGAAAAACAGTTTTCTCTGATATGGAAGGCTAGAACTTAGTAAGCACTGCTCTCTGCCGGGTGCCAAACTCAGTACTTGGCCATTTTTTTGCTATATTTAGTCCACAAGCACATCCCTGTGAGAAACCAGTTGCTGTGCTTGCCCCCAATTACAGATGTGGAAACTGAAATTTAGATCACATGATGTGCAGAGCAGGTATAAGTTAAGTCTGTTTTGATTCCAAAACCAGGACCATTTCTCCCTTGAGCCTAGATTTTTCAAGATGTTCTGATCTGCTGACAGTCTCCCTCTCAGAGGAAACCTTGGAAGTAAAAGCGGTGCCCTGGAAGCAGTGGGGATTGCGGAGTTTTCTTTCTGTCAGTCTAGAAGCTCCCCCCAATGCCTGCTGCCTCTGGCCCTGTGCCATGCCCACTTCATGCTTCCTGCCTTCCTGGTGGTACACTTGTGGGGCAGTGCTGCTGCAGGTGCCAAGTGGTGATTGTCCTCAGCAGCTGTGTGTGAGCTTCTCTATGTGGCTGAGCAGAAGTGTAATTTAGTAAGGACACAGGTACAGATCCTCACTCTGTTGCTGATTAGTTCCTGGCCTGGGAGCTGTTCCTTGGCCCAGTGGAACCATGGCTTGCTCTCTTGTAAGTGAGGTAGTGATCCACACAGTAGTGCTGTTTGGAATGGCCCTGATCTGTGCCCGCCCAAAGTGAGATGCCGCGCTTTCACCAGCAGCCGGCCTCAGAGCTTACCTCTGTTCAGTGGACTTCAGTGTGGTTTGGATATTTTGGTTTTGGCAGTAAGAATTTCTCAGCAAAGGAAGCAGTCTGTTGACTTAGACTCAGACACTGTGGCCTCCTCTTGTTCACTAGTCATCTCTCCTCAGCATGTAGCCTGGTGACTTAGAGGAGACTTGCTCTGGGCTGGCTATGAAAATTAGCCTAGCAATGAGTCTAAGGACAGCAAATATGGACCAGACAAAGACTGGTATGGGATGGTTACTTTTACACTTTAGTTTTACCTGGCAGAGCGAGGTGACTTCTTGGCACTTGTAGAAAGGTCTGAGACAAGGCAGTGGGTCCTAGCCTTGGGTTTCCTCTCACAAGAGAACAGAGGCAGAATGAAGGCCTGGTTCAATGAGCCTAGAACGCTCTGGGCAGAGCGGGGCCAATGTAGGGGAGTCTTGGTGCAAGAATCTCTTTTTGTGGGTGGAGCATAAGTATAGTGCCTTACCTCTTCTTTTTTCTTTTCTATTTTAACAAATGATTGTTTTAACCTGAAATTTTAAATGATGCCTGGTAAACAACATGGTCTTAAGTTTGATTTTTGGGTCCCTCCCAAAAATAGTTTTGAACTTTTATGATTCTTGTTAGTAATTTCAAGCATGATGGCCTTCTTTAGAGATGAGATTGCTGGACGTTAAACACGGGGCCTTGAACATACTAAGTAAGCATGCTCTGATTACCCCAGCCCACAGCAGTCTTGTTTTGTTACTACAATTAGAAATGAGAGTCAGACAAGGTGGTATATGCCTGTAATCCCAGCACTCAGGAGGCTGATACAGGAGGACTGCTGGAGTTTGAAGCCAGCCTGGACTACAGTGTGAGTTCATGGCCAGCCAGAACTGTATAATGAAACCTTATCTCAAAAAAGAGAGAGAAAGATACAGAATTTGTCTGTTTATCTGTTAAGATTATATCATATGTTATATATCCTAATTTAAGATTGTATCCTAAGTTAACATTGTATCCTATGTGATTTTAGACTTGCAGCCTCTAGAACTGTCAGAAATAATTATCTGTTGTTTATTAATACCCAGCCTATGACTATGGTAGTTTTTTTTTTTTTATAGTAGCTGGAAGTGACTGGGAGAGGGAGACTGCTAACAACATAAAGCCTCCTCATCTAGATGAGCATGAAACTAGATTCCACAGTGCTTAAAAATAGATAATACTAAGACACGCTTACAGAGATGACTACTCACAAACAGGTGCCTATTTCACTCGATCACAAATGGGTGGAGAATCTGCCAAAACTGCCAAAATAAGTGAGCATGATACTTAGAGACAGATTAACATCCATAGTAACAGGGACTGGCGGTAAAACGAAGCAGGTATGACAAAAAAACAACTTGGAATCTAGTAAATGAAACAGACCTTAGCTAGAATGATACAGTCTGTTGTGGACATGGTCAAAGACGGAGCATTGGCAGTAAGTCACCAAAGGTGAGCCAGATTGCAGCAAGAGAGACAAAATGAGAAAAATTCAAGGCCCTCAATTCAGGCAGGCCTAGAGCCAGGCCCACCTATTGATGTGATAGGTGTGTGAATAGAATTGATTTGATTTTTGACTTAGAGTAACTAGAGTCTACTTTTCTTCTACCTGCCCCAGAATCTTTCTGATAAAAGATTCCATTAGAGAGAGGGCACACTCTGTCAGGAATGGTACTTATTAGGTGACCTGACAGTGAGCTCTTGCTTATCACCATGGCCAATGCCAGTTAGTACCTCGATCAGGGCCGTGTTGGCATCTACAGGAGAAATCTGTACCACAGGGAAGAGCTCACACTTAGTAGAGAACATGACAGAAGTCTAGATGGCCGGCTGGCCAATACCCTTTCCCCTACTGCTTCGCATCCACAAGTCCCATTCCTGAAGGTTGGCTTTGGGCCTATGAAGATGTCTCAACACTGGCTGGAACTCTGTCAGGTTTTAAGACACATTTGGATGATTTTTACCTGGTTGGCAGGCAGGAGCAAGCAGACCCTATGTTAGTGGCCTTGGTGAGGGGGCATTTGAGTGTGAGGAGACAATCCTGCATGGCAGGTCCAGGGAGCAGAGCCTGTGTTGTTGGCCTGGGGAAAGGACCTTACCTTGCTGGCCTGGGGGAAGAAGGGGCCTTCAGTTGGTCTGGATATGAGAATCATGTGTTGCTAGCTGGGAAAGAGAAGGCTCTGCTGACCTGGGGAGAAGAATCTCTATGTTGTTATCTGGGGAGCCACCATGGTTTTGGCCTGGTGAAGGGCCCTGTGTTTTTGGCTGGAGGAGTCCGCTATGCTGAGCTGGGTGGGGGAGGCAAATAGAAGTCCTAATTCAAATACCATGGACTCCTGGCCTTATTCCTGATATTTCTTGAATAGATAATTTCCTCATTTACTGTTATCCTTTGAGCCATTTCCAGAAGCTTTGAAGAGTGGTTTTCATCATTTCAGGTCTCCCTGGGGAGCAGGCTGCAAAGTTCCTGCCAGGCTAAGTTCGGCTCACCCACAGTCATGAGTTTTTGGAGAAGAAAAGCTAGTTTAAAAGAAATTTTGCTCTTTTCCAGTGCTTTCTGTGGCAGTGTCATCTCTATTTCTCTCTCACTTTACTTGCCCAATCTCACTGTGGCTCACATAGGCACATGAGTCGTGGTCTGGTTAAAGCAGACTTCATGGGCCTGTGCTTTCTGTGATGAGATTGACTGTGAGCTGCAAACAATTGCTACCAGTGCCCTGTAAGAGCACCGCCTGTGTTAAACTAGCTTTCTAGAATTATCTAGCTCAAGCACATGTTCTTTTGAAGGACTGATTATTTATCCGGTAGATCTTTATTCTTGTCTTTTAAAGGAAAAGCACCTAAAGCCAGAAACACTGGCAGATGATTTTACTTATTTCAGAGTTGCTTTGCTCCAAATTCACATTGCTCAATTCAGTTCATTTGTGGTATCTGTGAACCGGTGTCATAACACAAGGTTTAGCACAGAACAGTGCTGCAGGACTCCTGCAGCTTCTCTCTGCCTTTTGCAAGATCTCCTACACTGCTGCATGCATAGTGTTTTGAGAATGCCTTTACAGAGAATACAAAAGGCTTCCTAGTCCTAGCAGTAAGCCCATTCTTCATAGTTGACTTTGCTCCAATGATTCAGGGAGACTATAGGGACTAAGGGAAAATCAGAATAGAGAGGGGACTAGAATTGGATAGTGACCTTCTAGGCCTTTTTTCCTTGATCTCTCTAAGGGCTCTAGGTCTCAGATCTGTGACTGACTTACAAATGTCTTCAGATGCTTCATTTTGGGATGCCAATTGAGGAAAATGCTTTTATTTCCTGAAGTCTAAAGAGGTGGACCTGGACACTCATTATCCCCTGCTGTGCTTTCAGCAGTGCCAGGGTGGAGGGAAGTCAGATGGCCTGGGTTAGACTCTCATTCCATTGGGAATACCTATGTCACCTTACGGCAAATGGTTGATCTCCATTTCTCTGGAGGAGAATGGGAATCCTTTGCCATGTATCTTGAGATTGGGTTGCCTGTGTGTGTGGACTATGAGGCCAATGGAAGTCTTGCCTAAGAGGTTTTTTTTTTTTTTAAATTTATTCATGTATGTGTTGATTTATTCCTTTACTTTGCTGCTTTGCAGGAGTTTTCAACGCTTGCAAAAGAGCTCAACATTTGCAGGGAACAGCTGCTTGAGAAGGAAAAAGAAATTGCTGAACTCAAAGCAGAAAGGAACAACATGAGGGTCAGTGGAGCTCTGGTTTAAGTGTTTTGTGCTTTTTCCTTCTGTAGAGTGTGTTCAGTATTAAATGTTGCTTAAAATTTGTGATAGAAGGCAAAGCATGGTGGCATATGCCTTCAATCCCAACGTTCTGAGCCAGGAATGTCTTGAGTTAGAGGTCAGCCTGGGCTAGCTAGTAAGTCCTCAAGCCAGCCTAGACTACAAAATGAGACCTTCTTGTTAATAAAAGAAATTAGTGATGGAAATTCATGACATTCGAATACAATTGAGGGAAATTTACCTAACTCTACTGAATTGTAGGAATTTGAACTTGTTTGACCATGAGATTATGAAGGATTTGAATGTGAAATTGAAGGTGCTCTTTACACGCCCCCTTTGGCCTGGTTTCAGCTGTTCCTGGAACATCTGGAGTTCCTTGTCTCCAGGCATGAACGCTCTCTCGAAACGACTGTGATGAAGCGGCAGGCGCGGTGTCCTGCAGATGTGTCCACAGAGATGGAAGTGCTAAAAGCACTGACATTCTTATTTGACCACCACAAGACCCTGGACAAAGAGGTACATGAGCTACACTAGTGGTTCTGGGTTCTTACACTTGCTGGGTTCATGGCAGACTTTGCATGTGTTTGTTTACCTTTAAGGTTTGCTAAGTTTTTGAGTTCTTGTAAACAGACTTTCTGTATTAAAAGGCAATGTTCTGCATAATCAACAAACACTAACTGGAATGTGAGTCTTCAATTGATTATTTCTGAATATTGACTGCCCATTAAGAACTGGATAGTGTTCATTTATTTAGGAACAAGAGTTTCCCGGCCTTAATATTTAAAGCCATTAACAAGGACATTTTCTTGACAGTACTAGCAATGAAAGACATTGAAAGTACTTTATTATATGCCTTTCATCAATATCAGGATAACTATATGGAAAGTGTGCGTATGCATATAAAAACTCAACTCTTTTCAGGTGCGAGAGCAATTACGTGTAGCACTGCAAAGGTGCAGCTTGCTGGAAGAGGAACTGGGCGCCACGCACAAGGAGGTAATTGTGGGACATCATCCTAGCCCTGAAAAGGGAAAATTATTTTATTTTAATCTCTTAAAAAACAGTGTGAAGCCTGTAATACTATTGGATTAGATTTTTATTTCAGATTGCAAGAATCTCTAAATTTGTTGTCAAGCAGTCAGTACATTCTGTTTCTAGTAATCTGGTTCTGCTATGGATGGTCAGCTTTGGCATGTACTGTCTTTTTTATACTATGTTCAGCACTGTAGAATTATGTTTTTCCAAATGGAATTTTGCTGTCTTTACTCATTACTCTTCCATAAGTTATTGTAGTCTCATACTCAGTTTTCGATTGTAGCTAATGACTCTTAAAAAACAGAATAATGAGAAAAAATCACCAAGAGATGGAGTGCTTGACCATGAACAAGAAGAAACACCAAGCACTAATGGAAAGGTAAGTCCTTGAGATCTCTCTTTGTTCTGTTGCTGATTTCTTATATTTTGTGGTTCGTGTGTGATGCTGTTTGGATGCTGTTGCTGGAATGGCCTGCTTCCAGCTAAAGTGATTGTTGAGAGTCCTATCATCCAACAGATGGCATAAATCCATTTTGATAGTCCCTATGTTCAAAAGTATTTTATTTGGTAGTACACTAAGGTTATTTAAGAGTGTCCATTTTACCCATCAGAGATCTTCTGCTGGCTCCTTAAGCCATGAGGAAGACCTTGCCAAAATAATTGTGCTCCAAGAAGTCATACACAAACATTCAAAAGAGCAGAGTCAGATGAAGGAGCTCCTGGCTGCACTTTCCAGCCATGTGTCAGAGCTGCAAGAAAATCTTGACACAGCAAGAAAGGATCTCATCAAGTCTGAAGAGATGAACAAGAAATTGGAATGAGATGTTCATGAAATAAGTGATAAAAATTACAGGGTTGTCATAATGTTGAGTGCTTGGAGTGTTAAGGATAATGATTCCTTTTTTTTTTTTTGTCCTTTCCTTGGTCGGTTATTTTCAGCATTTGCACTGTTGAATGAGTATAAATATGAATAATACAACACAGTATTGCTGTCAGATCGTGACATACCGCCTCCCCCTGGTTGAGAAATTTCTCCTTTTCTGTGGTCTTTTAAAAAGGTAGAGGAGAACTTGCCCAGCTTTTCCCACTTAGTTTATGGGAGTTTGTCCTCCACCCTCATGTGGATTCTTCATCTTTGCAGCTTCTTGGCTGTCATCATGTGTTCTTCTTTATGTTCAGCTTCTCAAGTACATGCACTCCTTAAACAAGGATTTTCAGTACTAGTTGTGCTTTGAGTTCGCTAAAGAGATGTGAGTATTCTCTGGGACTGTGGCAAAGGGAGCATTATCAGGTGTCTTCTAATTTTTTCATATTTTTCCTCAGGCACAGAGGTATGGTATTGAATTTTGGATGTTACATCAGCTCTAATGTGTGAATAGTTTTTGGGTAGTTTAGGCTTTGTGCTTATCTTGCCTATGAGATCTCATTTCATGTGAAATTGTATTTACAACATTCTACTTTGCACCTGTACTTGTATCTTTGGTTTTATTTCTCTTGCTATACATTTTACTTTTTAGTGGCATTCTTAGCCAGAATATAATCAAATTAAGCAAGTCATTTTAGTGGAATGTTCAGTGTCAGCAGTCTGTTTTGTGACATTTGGATGTATTTATAATTTATACTGTTAACTAACTGAGCAATATTTTTCTTTTCTTTTCCTGTTTTTTTTTTTTTTTGGACATATTGGGTTTGAACCTAGGGTTTTTCACATACTAGGCAAGCACCAAACCACTCACCAAACCATTTTCTTTTCTTTTGGTACTATGAATTGAACTCATGATGTTCTGCTTGACAGGCAAGTGCTATGCCATGGAGCTATATCCCTGACCCTTTTTCTTCTTTTCAAACTTATTTTATTTATTAGTGTTTGGTTTTTTGAAAAAAGGATCTTGTGGTGTAATTCAAGCTGGCCTTGAACTCATGGCAGTTCTCCTGCCTCAGCCTCTCACATGCTGGGATTACAGACATGTGGCACCAAGCCTGGCATTGTATTTTCATCTTTTTGACAATCTCATTTATCAGTTGTGTCCTTCTTTCCAGTATTTGTAAAAGAAGTGCAGCAACACATCTGTAATCCCAGCTACTTGTGGACTGAAGTGGGAGGTTTGCCAGTTTAAGGTCAGCCTGGGCAATTTAGGAAGACACTGACTCAAAAAGAGCTGAGTATCCCAAGCATAGTGGGTGAACCCTATCTTTCTAGCTACCCAGGAGACTGAGGCAGACAATCATAAGTTCAAGGGTAGGCTGCCCAATTTAGCAAGACCTTGTTTTGAAATTAAAAGGAAAAAAATATGGGACCATAGCTCAGTGTTAGAGTACCCCTGCCTTCTATTCCCAGTACCACACACAACCACGGAGGAAAACTCTTTCTTCCTGGTTCTCTAATTCAGCATGCTGGCTGACGGTCTGTGTGCTTCCATTGTTGGTTTTGATTTCTTATGCCACCCTTGTGTTTGTTTTATTTTAACCATCTCCAGATTCAATTCTAATCCAGGCCTCAGGTCCCTATCAATTTGTAGTTTGTCCATGAAGCTCCCCTCTCAGCCCCTCCCCATTCTGTGATGGCTCTGCACAGCTAACCAGGCAAGCACGTGTGAGTCTGAGCTGGATTATGACTGATTAGTGGGGCTTGGGGTTTTTGTCATTAAAAATGTATTTTGCTCAGTAGTGATCAATTATATTTAATATATAATTTGTCAATGTGGTTACAAGCAAGATATAATTGGTTGAATGTTTTTCCTTAGATTGTACAGGATCTGCATGATTCATGAGTGAAGTATTTCCTAGGTTAAAAAATAATCTGGGCTCACTGCAGTGGCACATGCCTGTAATGCCAGCTACTGGGGAAGCTAAGAAGGAGGATTTTAAGTCTGAGGCCAGCATGAGAAGTTTAGCAATGTGCTATGTCAAAATAAAAATATAAACGTGGCTGGCAGTGTAGTTTGTTGAGTGGCCCAGCTGGATTCAACCCTGCATACTGCAGGAGCAAGGGGAGGGGCCACTGCTGAGTGTAAAATTTATGGGAACTTTATACAGACAATACGAATCAGATTTTATTGATTATAATCAGAATTCTAAATCTCATCAACTTATAGGGCATATGCTATAGTCTTTAATGGACTACTTTTTAATTAAAATGCCTCCTATCTAGTACTGTGCTAGCTTTTATTGTTACGTATTTTAGGATGCCTAGCTTTCTTTCTTTTTTTTTTTCCATTCCATTCCACTCCTTTGTATTCCACAGTATCTCGGATGGAATCTAGGCCTGTGCACTGAGATACACACATGACCCTTTTTTTTTTTCAGTATTATTTTTTATTGTGAGACAGGATCGTGCTAAATCACCAAGATGAGCTCAAACTTGGCAGCCTTCCTGCCTCAGCCTACCAGAGTGCTGTGATTTCATGTGTATGCCACTGCACGAGGGATAAATGATATATTTTAGGAAGTTGTAAATCATATTCTAGGTGAAGATTTTACTGCATTGCACAAAAAATGATTAACTAAAAATAAGTTTGTTCAGTTTTTTGTGTTTTTCTGAGACAGGATGACACCATGCAGTTCAGGCTGGCTTTGAACTCATGTAGTGCAGGTTGGCAGTTCTCCAGGCTTAGCTTCACAAATGCGGGGATTACAAGTCTGCACCACCATGCCTGGCTCTTCAGTTTTATAATAGATGTTGCTGTAACATCCTTGTCATCATGGGAATATTAGAGAGTAGGTGGTTATCAGGGCCCTTTGTTCTATACAGTGTCTTGCTTTAAATCGCATGTGTTCAAATAGAATGTGCTCTTTGAGTAGTAATTTATAGTGTTTTCTAGTAAATCTTGGATAACTTAGATTTAAATTTGTGATAAAAGATTATTTGATTTCCAGTTATATTTTCTCTAAATCCTGTCTCTCTTATTTCTGTCTTGTCCTTCATATTGTAATATATTTGCCTGAGTAGATCCTTGAATTTTTAGCTTTAAATCGTGTCATAAATCTGGTGTCTATTTCTTTGCATGCGTCTTGTTAGCCTAGCAACTTAAGGAAACATCATAGAAAGGTAAATTTTCCAGTAAGTGAGCATAGCTTTGTATCTCCCTAATGCATGGAAGAGTATAGTATGTCACAAATAAGTGTAATGTTGTCAATATATTGCAATGAATAAGTGATGTTTCATTGGAAATGTTTAAACTGACCTGCCACATCACAAGTTACTGTTCTCTTGGCAATCAGCCATCCATGGAACATGGGGACAGATGTCAGTGTTTGCTTCACTCAGTGCTTTTGCCTCTAACCATTGCATGCATGTGTATAATAGACAGAATTTAGGATTTGAAAGGACGGAATGATTGAAGCAGAGCCATAGGCTTTAGATTGAGGAAAACTAGTTTTTTCTGATATGGAAGGCTAGAACTTAGTAAGCACTGCTCTCTGCCAGGTGCCAAACTCAGTGCTTGGGCATTTTTTTGCTATATTTAGTCCACAAACACATCCCTGTGAGAAACCAGTTGCTGTGCTTGCCCCCAATTACAGATGTGGAAACTGAAATTTAGATCACATGATGTGCAGAGCAGGTAGGAGTTAAGTGTGTTTTGATTTCAAAACCAGGACCATTTCTCCCTTGGGCCTAGATTTGTCAAGATGCTCTGATCTGCTGGGAGTCTCCCTCTCAGAGTAAAACTTGAAAGTAAAAGCAGTACCCTGGGAGCAGTGGGGATTGTAGGGTTTTCTTTCTGTCCATCTAGAAGCTCCCCCTAATGCCTGCTGCCTCTGGCCCTGTGCCATGCCCGCTTCATGCTTCCTGCCTTCCTGGTGGTACACTTGTGGGGCAGTGCTGCTGCAGGTGCCAAGTAGTGATTGTCCTCAGCAGCTGTGTGTGAGCTTCTCTATGTGGCTGAGCAGAAGGGAAATTTACTAAGGACACGGGTACAGATCCTCACTCTGTTGCTGATTAGTTCCTGGCCTGGGAGCTGTTCCTTGGCCCAGTGGAACCATGGCTTGCTCTCTTGTAAGTGAGGTAGTGATCCACACAGTAGTGCTGCTTGGAATGGCCCTGATCTGTGCCTGCCCAAAGTGAGATGCCGCGCTTTCACCAGCAGCCGGCCTCAGAGCTTACCTCTGTTCAGTGGACTTCAGTGTGGTTTGGATATTTTGGTTTTGGCAGTAAGAATTTCTCAGCAAAGGAAGCAGTCTGTTGACTTAGACTCAGACACTGTGGCCTCCTCTTGTTCACTAGTCATCTCTCCTCAGCATGCAGCCTGGTGACTTTGAGAAGACTTGCTCTGGGCTGGCTGTGAAGATTAGCCTAGCAGTGAGTCTAAGGACAGCAAATATGGGCCAGACAAAGAGCGATATGGGATGGTTACTTCTTCATTTCAGTTTTACTGGGCAGACTAAGGTGACTTCTTGGCACTTGTAGACATGTCTGAGACAAGGCAGTGGGCCCTAGCCTTGTGCTTTCCTCCCACAAGAGAACAGAGGCAGAATGAAGACCTGGTTCAGTGAGCCTGGAAGGCTCTGGGCAGAGCAGGGGCTAGTGTAGGGGAGTCTTGGTGCAAGAATCTCTTTTTGTGGGTGGAGCATACGTATAGTGCCTTACCTCTTCTTTTTTCTTTTCTATTTTAACAAATGATTATTTTAACGTGAAATTTAAATGATGCCTGGCAAACAATGTCCTAAGTTTGATTTCTTTTTCCCTCCCAAAAAGTTTTTTTGAACTTTTATGATTCATGTTGTTGATTTCAAGCTTGATGGACTTTTTTAGAGATGAGATTGCTGGCGGTTAAACACAGGGCCTCAAACAAGCTAAGTAAGTGAGCTCTGGTTACCCCAGCCCCCGACAGTCTTTTGTTTTGTTACTACAATTAGAAATGAGAGCCAGACAAGGTGATATATGCCTGTAATCCCAGCACTCAGGAGGCTGATAAGGGAGGACTGCTGGAGTTTGAAGCCAGCCTGGGCTATCATGTGAGTTCATGGCCAGCCAGAACTGTATAATGAAACCTTATCTCAAAAAAAAGAGAGAAAGATACAGAATTTATCTGTTTATCTGTTAAGATTATATCCTAGCGGGCTGGAAGTTTAGCTCAGCAGCATAAACGCCTGCCTTGTAAGCAGGCAGTCGTGAGTTCGATCCCCAGCACCAATAAAAAGGAAAAAGACAAAAAAAAAATTATATCCTAAATGCTCTCAGCTCACACTAGTCTAGGTGGTCTTCAGTGAGCTGCTACAGGACTATAATGGAATCTGTATCCTTTATACCATTGTACAGATAAATAAATTAACTATTCACCACTTGTTGTTCACCATGAATGTTTCATGAAATCTAGTCCTGCTTCAAAACCCGAAAATAACAACCTTCTAAACAGGGCCTAACCAGACCCTGAAAGAGTTCACATATGCACTATTTCCACAGTCCTGCCTTCTTCAACACATAGGCATACTCATGGGCCATCCCCTAAAAGAAATCCCAGGGTCTGCGTGACCCTCTTTTAATAATATACCCAGGATTATTATTATTTTTTTATTTAAGGAGAAAAAGAAAAAAAAAAAAACAGAAAAAGGATACAAGTGATACAGAATTTCAAAAAAAAAAAAAAAACAGTAGGAAGTCACTAGTTAATAGATTACATACTGTCATCTTAGAAATGGTTGTTCAGATTACAAAATTAAAGCATATAAAGTAGACATTCAAACTGTGAGACTACAAACAATTCTGTTCAATGATCCCACAAAAACTTAGCAATATGGTTATCTATCTTATACACTTAAATATACATGCAATTATATCCTTTAGAGCACTTTCTTTTCCTCTCTTTTTTACTATGACAATTATACATTTTGGGTTTTATTACTCCCACAGTTCTTATTACTTTCTATTTGAAGAGAATAAAATCCAATGTGACATAACAAAACAGAGTCAGTCAAATCAAAAGAATGGATATAGTACATAATATAAAAACGGAAGACAAAGTGATGATCATTGGGTACCATAATGCCTCTTGCTATCTTAAAAAGAATTGCCTATATCATCAGTTATAATAAAACTGAAAACATTAAAGAACAAAACCAATAAAAGCAAAACATTGGAGACATTGCAGGACTTCAAAAAAAGATAATATGCAAACCCAAAACCCAGGATTATTTTATGAAGCCACATGGAAGTAGGGTTTTAGGCTGCATGCAAATGCTTCTGCTCATAACATTTGGTCCACACAGTGAGAAACAGAAGCCACACACATGCATATTTGGGTCTTCGCTCATGCTGTCCTTGTCTTGTTTCTTGCTAGAGGTAAAAGTATTGACAGTTTCCCTGAGGCTTCGGCCCCCACTAGTGTTCCTTTGAGTGACATCAGTAACTGAAGATATGTGTCACAGGCTCTTCAGTAATGAGAGTAACTTTGTTAACCTGAAGTGATAAAGTGCAGTGAACAGGCTTCGTTTAGGACTTCACTGTCCCTCAGTAACTATCCTCAGAGGTACCTGAGGTTGTACGGAGAACAGAATCTTGAAGGGGGGGTGATGCTGTCCCTGGGCTTCCCGGGGCTTCCATGAAGGAAGGCTATAGGTCAACCTGCCCTGCTCTCTCTCTGCTATGTGGTCCATTTCCCCCAGACAAACAGGCCTTCAGGTTGGCATTCAATTAAAATGAGACTTCTCAGGACAGGTAGAAAGTTTAGCTAATAGGTTTTGAGTCAGTTTATGTTATTTAAAGCCTATGTGATGTGTTTTCTTATAATGTACTGTTAGCTGATGTTGCTTTTTCACTCCTCAGTTGCTAGCTTGCAGAGAAGAAGAACGAGATGACAAGACAACGATAAAATGTGGAACTTCCCCTCTCTCCTCTCCGAAGTCCCTTCAGCTAGACAGGCTGCACACAGGGGCGTTGCAAATAGTCAGCCACGAGGACATCAGGGACATGCAAAAGTAAGGAGCAGGTCTCGTAGGCCACCAGACCCCTGAGAAACCTGCTTGTCTTAGTTTTTAAGAACATCTATTAATCTTTTCCTGTGAGAAAAACCAAGTTTTTAAAGAATTCTCAGCAAGCTCATTTGGTTGTGATTATTTAAACGTTAGACCTAGAATGTGTTCTCCTGTTCTGCGGCTGTAGTGACATCCAGTGGAAAAGGCCATCTGTTTGGGCAAAGTTTAGAAAGAATAGGAATTATTTGAAATTAGCACTTGAGAGAAAAGCTCCATTTCTTCAGATCCCACACACTCACTTCTTTTAAGAACTTTCTTTCTATTCCTGGTGAAGAATTTGCCACACGGATGTGGCAGGTTCTGGATCGTGCTATTCTGTGGACAATCGGTGCCTCTCAGGTACCCTCCCACACTCTGGGTCTTCTAAGCTCTTGAGAGTCCCACATTGTCCCTATCCCTTTAGGAAGCATGTTCCATCAGGAGGCCATGAAGGCTTGGTTACTTATAGACTGTTGTTTTCCACACTTCCTCTTAGAAGCTTTTGTTCCATACCAGGCAGTATGATCAAGCAGGCACATTGGTCTCCACAGTGTCCTGAGAGATAGTACAGCTCTCACTTTGCAGGAGAGCAGGATCCAAGGAACCAGCCTGCAGGAGCTGCTGAGAGGGAAGGTGGAATTCCAGTTCTGGCTTCTGAGACCTTGTTCTCTTTCCTGAGGGCTGAGTGTAAACCTCACTGGCTGAGCAAGGCCCCTGCAGAGGGTGTTCCCTTAGATGTCCAAACCAGGCAGGCTAGAGTACAGGCCTCCTCTGAGCAGGGAGCAACATCAGAATCTTGGCTTTCCAGACATAGGTCTGTGGAAGCATTACTGGGACCCTGCATTGCTATGCATAGTGTGCTGTGGGTAAGAGACTGGAAAGGATCTTCAGGGAGTTGAAGTAGGAATATTAAAAATGCAGACTGTTTTGGTACATGTGAGTGGACTGTGGAGTTCTAAAGAGGGCATGTGGTAAAAGTCCATTTTCTTTCCTTCAAGATCAAAAAGTGCCCAGGATGGTCCTGTGAGCAATCCCAGTAGCAGTGACAGCAGGCAGGACTCGCCCCACAAAGCCCCAAAGAAGAAGGGCATCAAGTCCTCCATTGGTCGTTTGTTTGGCAAAAAGGAAAAGGGTCGGCCTGGACAAACTGGCAAAGAATCACCAGGACAAGGTGGGTGGGGTTTCGGCAGCTGTCCTAACTGCTGGGAATGGGAGAACGTGAACTTTGTCCTGTGTGCCTGCCGCAGGTGCGCAGTGCCCACGTGGAGTCATGGCTGAGGGTTCTCCAGAAAAGCCCAGTCTGCTTTCTCAGTCTGCCCATGTGTGAACCAAAGCAGAGCAGTGGACATTCATTTGGCGTGAATGAATAACCCTCATAAGTGCTACTTTACACTCTTGAACATTTGTATGTGTTTGCTTGGAAGCTTACCCTTCAGAAATTATTCAGCTCTCTACCTGCAGAACCTTCAACCTATTTGTGAAACATATAATTTTGCCATGTTAATTTGGGGGCTTTTCTGATTTTTTAATAGCTGTTCTTTCTGAAACAGAAACCTCATCTCAGGATGCGTTCCGACTTAGCAAATTGGGAGGAAAGGCTGAAAAAAATCAAAAATTTCAAAAAAAGTAAGCTTTTTGTTATTTCTCCATCTCATGAAACAGTTTTCTGAGTTAACAGTCATTCTTAGCTGATTTTAAGTGTAATTTCTAGCTATGTAAATACATTGTCTTTTGAAAGATGAACCTAAAGCAGTGATAGAGCTTTCAGTGATACAAAGAGCTTGCTGCAGCATGCACGCCATAGGTTTGCCTCCATTGACCTAAAGCCTGTTTTAAGCCATCATGTCTGGAGAACAGAGGACATTTGGAAATTTTGACTGAACTCACACATGTATTCTCAGTCTACCTTTTCAGAGTTGTCTCCCAGGATGATAGAATGGGTAATAGTTAGGCTTGGCCATTTGAGCTCTGGCCGCTGAATCCTGGTTAATTCTCTAGTTAGCTGTGTGTCTCTGACAAAGTTACTTAGCTTGTGCTTCAGTTTTCTCAACTGTCAAATGACTGTTACAGTTGTTCATACATCATGTGGTTTTTTTTCAGTTCAATAGAATTATATATATGCATGTATATGTTTTAAAACATGGACACAGGTCCTAAATATGTTACAATTACAGTGAGGATTCTGAGACCTTGTTCTCTTTCCTGTTGACTGAGTGGAACCCTCACTGGCTGAGCAAGGCCCCTGCAGAGGGTGTTCCCTTATGTGTCCAAACCAGGCAGGCTAGAGTACAGGCCTGCTCTGAGCAGGGAGCACATCAGAATCTTGGCTTTCCAGACACTGGTCTGTGGAAGCATTACTGGGACCCTGAATCACAATGAATATTGTACTGTGTGTAAGAGACTCGAAACGTTTTTTAGGAAGTTGAAGGTAGGAATATTAAAAATGCAGACTGTTCTTGTACGTGTGAATGGACTGTGGAGCTGGGAAGAGGGTGGTAAAAATCCATTTTATTTCTTTGAAGCTCGACAGGCTCCCAGGAAGGTCCTGTGAACAATCCCAGTACCAGTGACAGCAGGCAGGACGCGCTCCACAAAGCCCCAAAGAAGAAGAGCATCAAGTCCTCCACTGGTCGTTTGTTTGGCAAAAAGAAAAAGGGTCCGCCTGGACAAACTGGCAAAGAATCACCAAGACAAGGTGGGCCGGTTTTAGGCAGCTGTCCTAACTGCTGGGATTGGGAGAGCATGAGCTTTTTCCTATGTAGCTGTCACAGGTGTCCAGTGCCCATGAGGAATCATGGCTGAGCATTCTCCAGACAGCCCAGTCTGCCCACATGTGAACCAGAGCAGAGCAGTGGACATTCATTTGGCGTGAATGAATAACCCTCTTATATGCTAATTTATACGCTTGAACATTTATATGTGTTTGCTCGGAAGCTTACACTTCAGAAATGATTCAGCTCTCTACCTGCAGAATCTTCTTCCTATTTGTGAAACATATAACTTTGCCATGTTAATTTACTCTAAATTTGGTGAATTTTCTTCTTTTTTGTAGCTGTTGTTTCTGAAACAGAAAACTCATCTCAGGATGCCTTCCAACTTAGCAAATTGGGAGGAAAGGATGAAAAAAATCATCAACTTCAAAAACAGTAAGCTTTTTGTTATTTCTCCATCTCATGAAACATTTTTCTGAGTTAACAGTCATTCTTAGCTGATTTTAAGTGTAATTTCTAGCTATGTAAATACATTGTCTTTTGAAAGATGAATCTAAAGCAGTGATAGAGCTTCCAGTGATACAAAGAGCTTGCTGCAGCATGCACACCATAGGTTTGCCTCCATTGACCTAAAGCCTGTTTTAAGCCATCATGTCTGGTGAACAGAGGACATTTGGAAATCTTGACTGAATTCACACATGTATTCTCAGTCTACCTTTTCAGAGTTGTCTCCCACGATGATAGAATGGGTAATAGTTAGGCTTGGCCATTTGAGCTCTGGCCGCTGAATCCTGGTTAATTCTCTAGTTAGCTGTGTGTCTCTGACAAAGTTACTTATCCTGTGCTTCAGTTTTCTCAACTGTCAAATGGCAGTTACAGTTGTTCATACATCATGTGGCTGTTTTTCAGTTCAATAGAATTATATATGTGCATGTATATGTTTTATAACATGGACACAATTCCTAAATAAGTTACAATTACAGTCAGGCTTCTGAGACCTTGTTTTCTTTCCTGTTGACCGAGTGCATCCCTCAGTGCCTGAGCAAGGCCCCTGCAGAGGGTGTTCCCTTATGTGTCCAAACCAGGCAGGCTAGAGTATAGGCCTGCTCTGAGCAGGGAGCACATCAGAATCTTGGCTTTCCAGACACAGGTCTGTGGAAGCATTACTGGGACCCTGCATCACAATGCATATTGTACTGTGTGTAAGAGACTCAAAACGTTTTTTAGGAAGTTGAAGGTAGGAATATTAAAAATGCAGACTGTTCTTGTACGTGTGAATGGACTGTGGAGCTGGGAAGAGGGTGGTAAAAATCCATTTTATTTCTTTGAAGCTCAACAGGCTCCCAGGAAGGTCCTGTGAACAATCCCAGTACCAGTGACAGCAGGCAGGACGCGCTCCACAAAGCCCCAAAGAAGAAGAGCATCAAGTCCTCCACTGGTCGTTTGTTTGGCAAAAAGAACAAGGTTCTGCCTGGACAAACTGGCAAAGAATCACCAAGACAAGGTGGGCCGGTTTTAGGCAGCTGTCCTAACTGCTGGAATTGGGAGAGCCTGAGATTTTTCCTATGTGCCTGCTGCAGGTGTCCAGTGCCCACGAGGAGTCATGGCTGAGTGTTCTTCTGACAGCCCAGTTTGCCCACATGTGAAACAAAGCAGAGCAGTGGACATTCATTTGGCTTGAATGAATAACCCTCTTATATGCTAATTTATACGCTTGAACATTTATATGTGTTTGCTCAGAAGCTTACACTTCAGAAATGATTCAGCTCTCTACCTGCAGAATCTTCTTCCTATTTGTGAAACATATAACTTTGCCATGTTAATTTACTCTAAATTTGGTGAATTTTCTTCTTTTTTGTAGCTGTTGTTTCTGAAACAGAAAACTCATCTCAGGATGCCTTCCAACTTAGCAAATTGGGAGGAAAGGATGAAAAAAATCATCAACTTCAAAAACAGTAAGCTTTTTGTTATTTCTCCATCTCATGAAACATTTTTCTGAGTTAACAGTCATTCTTAGCTGATTGTAAGTGTAATTTCTAGCTATGTAAATACATTGTCTTTTGAAAGATGAACCTAAAGCAGTGATAGAGCTTTCAGTGATACAAAGAGCTTGCTGCAGCATGCACGCCATAGGTTTGCCTCCACTGACCTAAAGCCTGTTTTAAGCCATCATGTCTGGAGAACAGAGGACATTTGGAAATCTTGACTGAATTCACACATGTATTCTCAGTCTACCTTTTCAGAGTGTTCTCCCAGGATAATAGAATGGGTAATAGTTAGGCTTGGCCATTTGAGCTCTGGCCGCTGAATCCTGGTTAATTCTCTAGTTAGCTGTGTGTCTCTGACAAAGTTACTTATCCTGTGCTTCAGTTTTCCCAACTGTCAAATGGCAGTTACAGTTGTTCATACATCATGTGGCTGTTTTTCAGTTCAATAGAATTATATATGTGCATGTATATATTTTATAACATGGACACAATTCCTAAATAAGTTACAATTACAGTCAGGCTTCTGAGACCTTGTTTTCTTTCCTGTTGACTGAGTGCATCCCTCAGTGCCTGAGCAAGGCCCCTGCAGAGGATGTTCCCTTATGTGTCCAAACCAGGCAGGCTAGAGTACAGGCCTGCTCTGAGCAGGGAGCACATCAGAATCTTGGCTTTCCAGACACAGGTCTGTGGAAGCATTACTGGGACCCTGCATCACAATGCATATTGTACTGTGTGTAAGAGACTCGAAACGTTTTTTAGGAAGTTGAAGGTAGGAATATTAAAAATGCAGACTGTTCTTGTACGTGTGAATGGACTGTGGAGCTGGGAAGAGGGTGGTAAAAATCCATTTTATTTCTTTGAAGCTCAACAGGCTCCCAGGAAGGTCCTGTGAACAATCCCAGTACCAGTGACAGCAGGCAGGACGCGCTCCACAAAGCTCCAAAGAAGAAGAGCATCAAGTCCTCCACTGGTCGTTTGTTTGGCAAAAAGAACAAGGTTCTGCCTGGACAAACTGGCAAAGAATCACCAAGACAAGGTGGGCCGGTTTTAGGCAGCTGTCCTAACTGCTGGGATTGGGAGAGCCTGAGATTTTTCCTAAGTGCCTGCTGCAGGTGTCCAGTGCCCACGAGGAGTCATGGCTGAGCGTTCTTCTGACAGCCCAGTTTGCCCACATGTAAAACAAAGCAGAGCAGTGGACATTCATTTGGCTTGAATGAATAACCCTCTCATATGCTAATTTATATGCTTGAACATTTATATGTGTTTGCTCAGAAGCTTACACTTCAGAAATGATTCAGCTCTCTACCTGCAGAATCTTCTTCCTATTTGTGAAACATATAACTTTGCCATGTTAATTTACTCTAAATTTGGTGAATTTTCTTCTTTTTTGTAGCTGTTGTTTCTGAAACAGAAAACTCATCTCAGGATGCCTTCCAACTTAGCAAATTGGGAGGAAAGGATGAAAAAAATCGTCAACTTCAAAAACAGTAAGCTTTTTGTTATTTCTCCATCTCATGAAACATTTTTCTGAGTTAACAGTCATTCTTAGCTGATTTTAAGTGTAATTTCTAGCTATGTAAATACATTGTCTTTTGAAAGATGAACCTAAAGCAGTGATAGAGCTTTCAGTGATACAAAGAGCTTGCTGCAGCATGCACGCCATAGGTTTGCCTCCATTGACCTAAAGCCTGTTTTAAGCCATCATGTCTGGAAAACAGAGGACATTTGGAAGTCTTGACTGAATTCACACATGTATTCTCAGTCTACCTTTTCAGAGTGTTCTCCCAGGATAATAGAATGGGTAATAGTTAGGCTTGGCCATTTGAGCTCTGGCCGCTGAATCCTGGTTAATTCTCTAGTTAGCTGTGTGTCTCTGACAAAGTTACTTATCCTGTGCTTCAGTTTTCTCAACTGTCAAATGGCAGTTACAGTTGTTCATACATCATGTGGCTGTTTTTCAGTTCAATAGAATTATATATGTGCATGTATATGTTTTATAACATGGACACAATTCCTAAATAAGTTACAATTACAGTCAGGCTTCTGAAACCTTGTTTTCTTTCCTGTTGACTGAGTGCATCCCTCAGTGCCTGAGCAAGGCCCCTGCAGAGGGTGTTCCCTTATGTGTCCAAACAAGGCAGGCTAGAGTACAGGCCTGCTCTGAGCAGGGAGCACATCAGAATCTTGGCTTTCCAGACACAGGTCTGTGGAAGCATTACTGGGACCCTGCATCACAATGCATATTGTACTGTGTGTAAGAGACTCGAAACGTTTTTTAGGAAGTTGAAGGTAGGAATATTAAAAATGCAGACTGTTCTTGTACGTGTGAATGGACTGTGGAGCTGGGAAGAGGGTGGTAAAAATCCATTTTATTTCTTTGAAGCTCAACAGGCTCCCAGGAAGGTCCTGTGAACAATCCCAGTACCAGTGACAGCAGGCAGGACGCGCTCCACAAAGCCCCAAAGAAGAAGAGCATCAAGTCCTCCACTGGTCATTTGTTTGGCAAAAAGAACAAGGTTCTGCCTGGACAAACTGGCAAAGAATCACCAAGACAAGGTGGGCCGGTTTTAGGCAGCTGTCCTAACTGCTGGGATTGGGAGAGCCTGAGATTTTTCCTATGTGCCTGCTGCAGGTGTCCAGTGCCCATGAGGAGTCATGGCTGAGCGTTCTTCTGACAGCCCAGTTTGCCCACATGTGAAACAAAGCAGAGCAGTGGAAATTCATTTGGCTTGAATGAATAATCCTCTTATGTGCTAATTTATACTCTTGAAGATTTATATGTGTTTGCTCGGAAGCTTACCCTTCAGAAATGATTCAGCTCTCTACCTGCAGAATCTTCTTCCTATTTGTGAAACATATAACTTTGCCCTGTTAATTTACTCTAAATTTGGGGGCTTTTCTTCTTTTTTGTAGCTGTTGTTTCTGAAACAGAAAACTCATCTCAGGATGCCTTCCAACTTAGCAAACTGGGAGGAAAGGATGAAAAAAATCATCAACTTCAAAAACAGTAAGCTTTTTGTTATTTCTCCATCTCATGAAACAGTTTTCTGAGTTAACAGTCATTCTTAGCTGATGTTAAGTGTAATTTCTAGCTATGTAAATACATTGTCTTTTGAAAGATGAACCTAAAGCAGTGATAGAGCTTTCAGTGATACAAAGAGCTTGCTGCAGCATGCACGCCATAGGTTTGCCTCCATTGACCTAAAGGCTGTTTTAAGCCATCATGTCTGGAGAACCAAGGACATTTGGAAATTTTGACTTAACTCACACATTTATTCTCAGTCTCCCTTTGCAGAGTTGTCTCCCTAGTGGACAGAGTGGTTAAGAGTTAGGCTTAGACATTTGAGCTCTGGCCGCTGAATCCTGGTTAATTCTCTAGTTAGCTGTGTGTCTCTGACAAAGTTACTTAGCTTGTGCTTCAGTTCTCTAAACTGTCAAATGGCAGTTACAGTTGTTCATACATCATGTGTTTTTTTTTCAGTTCAATAGAATTATATATGTGCACGTATATGTTTTAAAACATGGACACAGGTCCTAAATATGTTACAATTACAGTGAGGATTCTGAGACCTTGTTCTCTTTCCTGTTGACTGAGTGGAACCCTCACTGGCTGAGCAAGGCCCCTGCAGAGGGTGTTCCCTTATGTGTCCAAACCAGGCAGGCTAGAGTACAGGCCTGCTCTGAGCAGGGAGCACATCAGAATCTTGGCTTTCCAGACACTGGTCTGTGGAAGCATTACTGGGACCCTGAATCACAATGAATATTGTATTGTGTGTAAGAGAGTTGAAAAATTCTTTAGGAAGTTGAAGGTAGGAATATTAAAAATGCACACCTTTCTTGTACATGTGAATGGACTGTGGAGCTGTGAAGAGGGTGGTAAAAGTCCATTTTCTTTCCTTCAAGCTCAATAGGCTCCCAGGATGGTCCTGTGAGCGTTCCCAGCAGCAGTGACAGCAGGGAGGACCCATTCCACAAAGCTCTAAAGAAGAAGAGCATCAAGTCCTCCACTGGTCGTTTGTTTGCCAAAAAGGAAAAGGGTCCACCTGGACAAACTGGCAAAGAATCACCAAGACAAGGTGGGCCGGTTTTAGGCAGCTGTCCTAACTGCTGGGATTGGGAGAGCATGCGCTTTTTCCTATGTACCTGCCACAGGTGTCCAGTGCCCACAAGGAATCATGGCTGAGCATTCTCCAGACAGCCCAGTCTGCCCACATGTGAACCAGAGCAGAGCAGTGGACATTCATTTGGCGTGAATGAATAACCCTCTTATATGCTAATTTATACGCTTGAACATTTATATGTGTTTGCTCGGAAGCTTACCCTTCGGAAATTATTCAGCTCTCTACCTGCAGAATCTTCTTCCTATTTGTGAAACATATAACTTTGCCATGTTAATTTACTCTAACTTTGGGGAATTTTCTTCTTTTTTGTAGCTGTTGTTTCTGAAGCCGAAAACTCATCTCAGGATGCCTTCCAACTTAGCAAATTGGGAGGAAAGGATGAAAAAAATCGTCAACTTCAAAAACAGTAAGCTTTTTGTTATTTCTCCATCTCATGAAACAGTTTTCTGAGTTAACAGTCATTCTTAGCTGATTGTAAGTGTAATTTCTAGCTATGTAAATACATTGTCTTTTGAAAGATGAATCTAAAGCAGTGATAGAGCTTCCAGTGATACAAAGAGCTTGCTGCAGCATGCACACCATAGGTTTGCCTCCATTGACCTAAAGCCTGTTTTAAGCCATCATGTCTGGTGAACAGAGGACATTTGGAAATCTTGACTGAATTCACACATGTATTCTCAGTCTACCTTTTCAGAGTTGTCTCCCAGGATGATCGAATGGGTAATAGTTAGGCTTGGCCATTTGAGCTCTGGCCGCTGAATCCTGGTTAATTCTCTAGTTAGCTGTGTGTCTCTGACAAAGTTACTTATCCTGTGCTTCAGTTTTCTCAACTGTCAAATGGCAGTTACAGTTGTTCATACATCATGTGGCTGTTTTTCAGTTCAATAGAATTATATATGTGCATGTATATGTTTTATAACATGGACACAATTCCTAAATAAGTTATAATTACAGTCAGGCTTCTGAAACCTTGTTTTCTTTCCTGTTGACTGAGTGCATCCCTCAGTGCCTGAGCAAGGCCCCTGCAGAGGGTGTTCCCTTATGTGTCCAAACAAGGCAGGCCAGAGTACAGGCCTGCTCTGAGCAGGGAGCACATCAGAATCTTGGCTTTCCAGACACAGGTCTGTGGAAGCATTACTGGGACCCTGCATCACAATGCATATTGTACTGTGTGTAAGAGACTCAAAACGTTTTTTAGGAAGTTGAAGGTAGGAATATTAAAAATGCAGACTGTTCTTGTACGTGTGAATGGACTGTGGAGCTGGGAAGAGGGTGGTAAAAATCCATTTTATTTCTTTGAAGCTCAACAGGCTCCCAGGAAGGTCCTGTGAACAATCCCAGTACCAGTGACAGCAGGCAGGACGCGCTCCACAAAGCCCCAAAGAAGAAGAGCATCAAGTCCTCCACTGGTCGTTTGTTTGGCAAAAAGAAAAAGGGTCTGCCTGGACAAACTGGCAAAGAATCACCAAGACAAGGTGGGCCGGTTTTAGGCAGCTGTCCTAACTGCTGGGATTGGGAGAGCCTGAGATTTTTCCTATGTGCCTGCTGCAGGTGTCCAGTGCCCACAAGGAATCATGGCTGAGCATTCTCCAGACAGCCCAGTCTGCCCACATGTGAACCAGAGCAGAGCAGTGGACATTCATTTGGCGTGAATGAATAACCCTCTTATATGCTAATTTATACGCTTGAACATTTATATGTGTTTGCTCGGAAGCTTACACTTCAGAAATGATTCAGCTCTCTACCTGCAGAATCTTCTTCCTATTTGTGAAACATGAAACTTTGCCCTGTTAATTTACTCTAAATTTGGGGGCTTTTCTTCTCTTTTGTAGCCGTTGTTTCTGAAACGGAAAACTCATCTCAGGATGCCTTCCAACTTAGCAAATTGGGAGGAAAGGATGAAAAAAATCATCAACTTCAAAAAAAGTAAGCTTTTTGTTATTTCTCCATCTCATGAAACAGTTTTCTGAGTTAACCATCATTCTTAGCTGATTTTAAGTGTAATTTCTAGCTATTGTAAATACATTGTCTTTTGAAAGATGAACCTAAAGCAGTGATAGAGCTTTCAGTGGTACAAAGAGCTTGCTGCAACATGCATGCCATAGGTTTGCCTCCATTGACCTAAAGCCTGTTTTAAGCCATCATGTCTGGAGAACAGAGGACATTTGGAAACTTTGACTGAACTCACATGTGTATTCTCAGTCTTCCTTTGCAGAGTTGTCTCTCTAGATGATAGAATGGGTAATAGTTAGGCTTGGCCATTTGAGCTTTGGCTGCTGAATCCTGGTTAATTCTCTAGTTAGCTGTCTGACAAAGTTATTTAGCTTAGGCTTCAGTTTTCTCAACTGTCAAATGACTGTTACAGTTGTTCATGCATCGTGTGGCTTTTTCTCAGTTTGATAGAATTATATATGTGCATGTGTATGTTTTAAAACTTGGACACAAGTCCTAAATAAGCTATAATTAAGGTCACTGTGGTGACTTCTATTGTTTACACAAGTGGTCCTCCAGAAGCATTTACCGTGATATAATTTTACATTTTATCTGAGATTGGATCTCTACTTTACAGTGTGTTATTGAACTATAATCCGCTACTAAATCTTAAGGGGCTGAGGAGTGGAGTATAAGTGAGAGCGTACTGGCTTGACATACCATCCCTAGGCCCACATAAAGATAGATTCTGAAAATAATATATACTGTTCCGAATGATTTTGCATAGGGGAGCACAGGCACCAACATATCAGGGAAGTATGTACACTTCTCTGATGTAGGATTGGTTGTGTAAGCTGATCACACCCAAAACTAGAGTTATAAGTGAACTAGATAGGTTGAGACATTTTCCTAGTGAGATGATTAATAAAATATCAATCAAAAAGCTTTCTGCAACAAAATCAGACAGTATGTAATGTCTAAGAGGTACAATTTGAACTTGACAGTAGGGAAAGTTTGAAAGCCTAAGGTAAGATGGGCACACTGGTCTTGAGAAAAGGTGAAAGTTGGTGGGTTCTTGGATAAATTTGTATATGGGAAACATCAGGTGTCCACTTCTCAGTGAAGCCAGTACTGTGTGGAACTCAGAGTGCAAAGGCCCTGACACTAGCATTGCACTCGAATCCCTAGGAACCCTTTCTGCTGGAAAGTTATGAAATCTCACTCATTTTAGTTGTCTTCTCTGAATTCATGACTGCCTTTTTTTTTTTAAACTTCTATTGGTATGTGTTTGCAGTACATAATAATCATGTTGGTTCTTGGGAGTTGATACATGTCCATGACACATTTCTATTCTTTATTTTCCACCATCCTTGTATTTTGCCAGAATCCCATTCATGCATTTCTCTTATAAACCCTTGTCATGTATACAGATTAAAAATAAGACTATTAAAAAGAAATATATATATATATAAGATATATATATCAATATCAATATATATTATATATATATATATATATCAAACATACCAGACTATAAGCCAAAACACATATAAAAGATGGAACACAATTGTACTAAGTCGAAGTATTCCTTTAGATATATTTTCCATGCTGAGTTACAATAACTTTTTTCTTCTATTGTCTGTCTTTTATTTCATAGCTAACTTATATATGAAGTTTTTCATATTATAATGAGTCTTTTGTTTTTTATTTTATTCATTTATTTTTTGAGACAAGAATCATACTTTGTAATTCAGGCTGGACTGAACTCACAGCAGTCCTCCTGATTTAGTTGCCCAAGTGGTGGGATTACAGGCATGTGCTACCGCACTTGGCCATAGTAACTGTTTTAAGCAGCTCAACAGTGATGACATGCCATTGCAGGTGAAATTCTGTTATGGAAACATTCTATACAAATACTCAATCTTTGGTGCTCTGTAAATAGAATTTTATAGTACCATTTAACCACAAAATCTGAACTGTGTAAAAGTCTTTTATAATAATTTAAGCAATGAGCAGTTGGCTTTGTGGAGCTTAATATTAAAGCTAGTCATTTTCCCTCTCGAAACCATGCTAAAGAAATAGTGTTGCCTAGATTTTGCCAGTGTCTTTTATTTCACGTGCTCATTTCAATGTAATAAAAACAACAGCAGCACAGCTTGATCATTCACCCCATTGCCTTCTGAAGTTTATGTTTCATGGAAGAGAAGAAATAATTTTCCTAATATGTTTGGCTATTTTGCTGGGGATGTGGCTCGGTAGTGTAGTACTCTTAGCATGCATTAAGGCCTTAGGTTCAATCCCCAGTACCACAATAAAAGCAAAAAACAGAAAACCAAAATGTTTCCCTGTTGTAAAAATTGACTTTCTAACTCTCAAGAAGTGTGTGTGCACCCTCAGGACAGGCTTTGAATTATTTGCCCAAACACATGATTAAATTGCACACCAGGCATGCATGTTTACAGGTTTGTGTGTGTGTGTGTGTGTGTGTGTGTGTGTGTGTGTGTGGTGGTAGGGAGGGAGATTTCTCGGTAGCAAGGAGATTCAAGTTTATGCTGCTTACTCCAAACATCTGTTGTGGCTGTTTCAAGGTGTCTAAGAATGGGTCTTTGCTCTGTACTTTATAGTTCTATGTGGGATGCATATGTGATTTCTCAACCATAGTAGAAAGTTCATAGGGAAAATTCTAAAGTAGTCATCTGACTATGGTGGGCAGTTTTGTGATATCTGTCAGATAACCTGAATTGTAATTGATTTGAAGAAAAAAAGTATTTTGTGAATACAGGGTACAGTTTAATACTTTGAGCATTATTGTTTTGTTTTGTTTTGTTTTTTTGTTTTGTTTTTTTTTTGTTTTTGTTTTTCTGAGACAGGTCTCACTATGCAGTTCAGGCTGGCTTTGAGCTCACTTTGTAGCTCAGGCTGACCTCAAACTCACAATGATCCTCCTGCCTCAGCCTCTCAAGTGCTGGAATTACAGGCATGCACAACCACATCCAGCTACTTTGAGCATTCTTGATGTAATAAAAAACTGTTCTGTGAATACAGAGTACAGTTCAACACTTTGGTACTTTCTCAGAAATACAGTACTTCTTGTGATGAGCCCTAACTTGGCTGTAGGCCATGCTCCTTGCCGCTGAACCACTAGCCTATCACATTGACTGAAGGAGGGTTCCCAGGACTCAGTGCACATGTTGACCAGCTGAACTCATGCTCTCTGAGAATTACTGGAAGAATTTGATGCTCTGCTGACACTTGAGGTGCTCAGTAGTCAATGCAACTATCAGCATGACTCAGACTGGAGTCCGTTCATCAGCTCATAGAATGCTGTGTGAAGTTTCAAAACATGGATCTCCAACTCACCTTTGTCTTTGTAGTGCTCTCCTTCCGGTTGTGTGGCATTGTGGTGCATTTGCTGTGGGAAGTTGGTTACACATGGAGCCATACTCAGTGGTACTCTGAATCATATAGTGTAGAGTGCTGGTGTTACCAGCTTTGGGTTCTCTGCTAAACTTCCCAAGAGTATATTTCTGTTTGGTGAGAAAAGTTGCTTCCATTCCTCACTTGTCAAAACAACACACTGGTCCCCAGTACTCTTCCTCACAGTGTGACTAGCATGTGAAATGTGAGCCTGAGCTGCAGCCATGAGAAAGGGTCTCCTTAGCCCTTGTGCAAGACCCCTGAATTTGAAAAGTGTCCCATCTCTTGGAAATACAGTCATGTATTTACTATGGAGAGTTAAAGTTCTTGCTATATGTCACTTAGATAATGTTTATTCTGCAGAAACTCGCACAAGCTTCTTGAAATGAAGGGCAGCTTTACCATTGTGCTTTTGCCTACATTATAAAATATATCATAATTCATAGATTACATGACATTTTTTGTACCAGGGATCAAACTCACAACCTCACACTTGCCAGGCAGGCCCTTAAGCTGCTGAGCTAAATCCCTGGCCTTCACGTAACTTTTATTTTACGCATTTGTTCCCCAGAGAATTTAGTGTATTTTGGTCCAAGAGAATACAGCATAGCTGTAGAACACTTTCCTAGTATGCTAAAGCCCTGAGCTCCATCATTAGTATGACAGAATCTAAAATAGCTGCCTCCTCCAACAGTATGTATGTATGTATGTATGTATGTATGTATGTATGTATGCATGTATATACATGTTGGTGCTGCAGATCAAACATAGCACCTTGTGAAGGCTGGGCAAGTGCTTTACTAATGAGCTACACTCAGCCCCCAGTCTCTAATTTAAAGGCAGGAAGGTTCCCATATCAGTTTGCATTAGAGCAGATACTCTGTGTTTGTGTGTGTGTGTGTGTGTGTGTGTGTGTGTGTGTGTGTGTGTTTCGTTTCTTTTCCTTTTTTGGTACTGGGGATCAAACTCATGCCCTTGCACTTGCCAGGCAGGTGCTATGCTGCTGAGCTAAATTCCTGGCCTCCTTTTCTTTTTTTAAAAAAGGGTCTCACTGTGTTGTTCAGGTTGGACTTGAAATCATTATGTAACCCAGGCTGACTTTCAGCTCATAGCAATTCTCCTGCCTCAGCTTCCAAAGTACTGGGATTACAGGTGTGTACCATCATCCTGGCATTAGAGCAGATATTATAAAAATCAACCCTGGTGTCTAGTGTTTGGTTCTATGGGAGAAGCTATAAGCTGAAGAAAAGAAGCTCTGACAATGTCAGGAACAGAGCAATCTAGTGCCCAGCCACCTTCTGCAAAGGGCCCCAGCTTGGCCTGCCTGTCACATCTATTGGGATATGATATCTCACAGCCCAGGAGCAAGCAAATATCAGAAGAAACCAAAGGGGTTTTCTTCTGGAGTTGATGGATATGACACATCAACATCTAGGATTACTGACATATTATTCAGATACCCTTGGTGGCTATTCAGTGTGGACAGATGATGGACATTCTGCAGAGTATGCCCCCCCCCACTGGTTACTATGTTTTTATTTGCTCTTTTTAAATTTTTCCTTTTTTTCCCCTGGGGGCTCCTTATGTAGTCCAGACTAGCCTTGAATTCATGGTAATCCTCTTGCCTTCATCTCCCACATGCTGGATTATAGATGATGCCACCATACCCAGCTTGATTACCTTGCTTGAAGCTTTGGGGCTCAGAGCTGGAAGAGTTATTATTTGGGAAGTTGAGCAAGAAAAGAATGAATGTTGCTAAAGCTTAAATGTTTGCAGCTTTAGTAGAGGGGGAGGAAATAGGTGGTTCTCCTATTCCAAACTAATCATATGGGTAGACGGATAACCTTACCTAAGTGGATAGTCAGGTAGGTGAGTAAACACTGTGAAGCCATTTAGTTCTTGGAGGTCACAGATTTGGACAAATGGGCGTCTGTACTAAGTATGTGCAGTAGCAAGCAAAAGAGATCCAGTTTCAATACCCAGTGTAAAAGGAAGGTAGTTGTGCATATCACCAAACATTGCAAAGAGCCAGAGTAGAGGTGCGCAGAAGTGTCTGCAGGCTCCAGATTCTGCATCTTAACACAGGATCCTTCTGTACACTTTTGGGAACAACTCTCAAGAAAACTGGACTCTAATGTGCCCACCTATCGTGTTAACCAAGGTTAGGTGCCCAATCTCGTAGTCCACAAACTACCTGGTAGGGGAGGTGTAGCTACCTGTAGGTGGAACTTGGGCCAACTCCCCAGCCAGGGTCTTCTGTGTTATTTCCTAACATCCCATGACTTTTGAATGCATCATCCTACTTCTGCTACCTTCACACCACTCCCACTGCTGCATCTGGATGCAGGTGTAAGGAGGAGGAAGGATGTAAAGGCAACAGCAGTTTATACCAAGCTTCAGGTAGTGGGCCTTGTTCTTGTTTGCAGTACATGTCTGGTATGTACTTTCACAAATTACAGCTGTGCAGTGGTATGTACCTTTAATCATCCGAGCTACCTGGGAGGTCCAGGCAGGAGGGTCATTTATGATGACAATACCATTGTTCTAGGCAACTTAAGAAACTGTCTCAAGATAAAAAGTATAGTACAAATGGCTGGCGGTTTAGTTCAATGAGTGCTTGGTTCCATCCCCAGTACCATCAAAAATAATGAAAACACCAACAAAATCATTTTTAGACTACTGAGGACATAGTTCTTACTTAGTCTATTTGAATAGGCACATAATCTAGAAGTGCTTCTGACCTACAGCAGTAGTCTTCCTCTTCCCTGGCCTGGCCAGAGCATCCAGGACAGACCCTCACTTAATATTACAGAATTTCAGATCTTTACCCAGAAATGGATTTACACTGCTTCTTGGGGTCAGTCAGTCTGTCTGTCTGTCTGTCTGTCTGTCTGTCTCTCTGTATGTTTGTCACACACTCTCTCTTTCTGTGTGTGTGTGTGTGTGTGTGTGTGTGTGTGTGTGTGTGTGTTTCTTGTTTCCTTAAATGAGTCATAGCAGCTCTGTAGCCAGGTTTGGTAGCTGTCTTAGTTACTTTTTACTCATTGCTGAGACAAAATACCTAAAGGCCAAGTTGGGAAAGGAAAGGTTTATTTCTTACAGTTTTTGGAGGTTTCACACACTCAGTTGGCTCCAGAGCATGGCTGGGCCACAGTTCATGGTGGCTGCAAACAGCAAGCAGGAACAGGCAAAGAGCAAGACACACCTTCTCCCTGCCATTACATTACATCCTGGCTCCACCCCTCTGTGGGTATAGCACTGACACCATCAATCCAAGCACTAACAATAAACCATCACAAATGCACAATACAAATACATGAAGCCTGGGGGCCCACAGACATAAACCATGACATTCCTCCCCTGGCCCCCAGGACTCTTGTACATCCTTTATACAAAAGACATTTAGTCCACCACCAAGAGTTTCCAAAGTCTTAAGTTTCAGCATTGCTGAACAGTCCAAGTCCCATGTCTCCTCCATGATCTATGGCAAACTCTTAACTGTAACCCCTGTACAAATGAAACAAGTTTAAACATTTCTCAAATGCAAAGGCACAAAATAAACATTACTATTCCAAAAGTTACAAACAGGGGAATATAAAGCATTGGAAACAAAGCAAATCCAACATCCAGCAGGATGAACATTAAGTCCTAGAGTTCCTTGCTCTGCATCTGAAGCAATATGGTTACAAGCTCCAAAAGGCTTGTGTGATTCCACCCCCAAGGCACTTCCAGGGATTTCACCTCCTGCAGCTTTTCTCTTAAATCCTCTCTGCTTGCTTTTTGGAGCTTTCCTTGGATCGTCCATGTTTCTGGCTTTTCCAAACTTTTGGGGTCTCCACTGCACCTTTGGCTTCACCTTTATGTCTTCACAAATTGCCCTCTCAGGGGCACACAGCTTGGCCTCCCAGGCCCTTTGCAATAGAGGTAGAAGCCATCTTACCCTCAGAATTTGTGCATTTTCCTAGCACCTAAGATCAGCACCATGTGGATGTTGCCAAGGTTTGCTGCTAGCTAGAGCAGTACTCAGGCTTTTCTCTCTCTTGGCTGTAGGGGTCAGTTGCCTGGATCACAGGGCTCTGTTTAACTGATTGTGAGGAAAAGCTTCTCTATGTTGCCACCATTCTGGAACCTCATGTGGCCTGTCACCATTCTGGAAACTCATGTGGTCTCTGTCGCCATTCTGGAACCTGGTGCTCTGCAGCTTTCTCCTCTGAAAAAATTATTTTACCTTTGCAGTGAGGCTGCACAGGGTGGGGACCTGCTTCCTGGGATGCCCCCGGCCCATCTTTCTTATTTCTCTGTTTTCCCTCAGCCATCAGAATCTCCACTGTCTTTACAATCCACAGCCTTCCTGAAATATTCTTTCTGGCCAAACTCACAGTATTGCAAATTATCCCGCTGGGCTCTTTCCTCTTGATTTGCAACATAAAGCTGGCTAAAAGCCCTCTACAGTAGCCATGCCACAGACTCAACATTTGATTGCTTTTTAATTTCTTTTTCAAGATTAATCAGTCCATTGCCCTTTGTTTCAGTCTCAGGCAAAGTCTCTGGACATGAGCAAAATGTAGACAACTTTCTGCCAACCCATAACTCACATCATGGGGAGTCCAACAACCACTGCAGTCCTTCTTCCCAGCAGAAATCTCCCAGGCCTGGTCTTTACCATCAGGCTTCCTATCAGCCTTCTGGTCTCCTGAGCTGTGACCACTATCTCCTCTACAGAACTGCCTAAGCTGCTCTAGCTCTATGCATCCAGGCAACACATCCAAACCTTTCCAAACTCTGCCCACAAGCCATTTCCAAAGCCATTTCTTGAAAAACATGGTAAGGTATAGTCACAGCAAACAACCCCATTCTTCGGTACCAAATTCTGTCTTAGTTACTTTTTACTCATTGCTGAGACAAAATACCTGAAGCCCAAGTTTGGAAAGGAAAAGTTTATTTCTTACAGTTTTTGGAGGTTTCAGTCCACACTCAGTTGGCTCCAAGGCAGGTGGGCATGGCTGGGTCACAGTTCATGGTGGCTGCAAACAGCAAGTAGGAACAGGCAAAGAGCAAGATACACTTTCTTCCTACCATTACATCATATCCTGGCTCCACTCTTATGTGGGTGTAACACTGACACCATGAATCCAAGCACTAGACAATGAACCATCACAAATGCACAATGAAAATGCATGAGGCCTGGGGGCCACAGACATAAACCATGACAGTAGCCTACTACTTCTTGTACTTAGGAGCACACTTCTGCTGATCTGTTTCTCTGTGAATAGCTTTGCTTGTTTCAACTAGAAAATTGTTGTTGTTGTTGTTCTTCTTCTTCTTTTTTTGTTTTTTTTTTTTCTTGTTTCATCTGAGATAACACATTTGCTGCCTTCTCTGGTACAGTTACTCCCTGGTGATTGTTCCTGTAAGCTTAGCGGTAACTTAAGGAACTCTTAGTTGAAATTGTATATGAAACATTTTACTTAGGAACATAAGTTTCCAAAAGAAAGAAAAGGGGAAGAGAGACTGATTGACTGAGACTGACTAGGGTTTTTGTGTATCTGAAACATACTTGTCCTTTGTGTTCTAATGTCAGACTTACCATGCTTACAATGTTACTGTTTCACATAACTGTGTTACACAAATCACTTTTAGAGATGTTAGTATAGTAAAAGTGTAACTTGAGTCTTTAGAAATAAAGCATATATGAAACCTCAAATCACATTACGGAGTGCATGCAAGACTCACCTACCCACTTCCCTGCAGTACTGCCTTGGTATTGCATGAGTTTCTGTGCTGGTGATACATTCGGCATTGAAGGAGGTGTTGAATGGCTGGCTAAAGAAGAGATCAATGGGTTAAAACCACAGAATGACCCAGTGACTTATCAAGTACCCGTTTACTTAAAGAGCAGTGTACAATAGAAACTGTCCTCTGTTACTTGTTTGCTGTATTAGACGATAATCTTTTTGTGGTTAAAAGTCTGCATTACAGCTGGGAGTATGAAACACATCTATAATCCAAGCACTGGGGGAGACTGGTTACACAGAGTTTGAGGCCAACCTGGACTACATACATAGCAAGACTTTGTCTCAACATTCCCCAAACCACAACCACCCCCCCAAAACACTGTTTTTTAAAGTCTCTCACAAAATTAGGCACTGATGTCTCAACTGAGGTGTGGTTTCCTCTTCCTAGATACTGTTTCTTCATTGTTGAAGTAGGGTTTCATGTTTTCCCCTAATTGTCTTACTACCTTGGATATGAAAATTCTGCTTGAGTTTTATAAGTTGGTAGTAATTCTTCAATTCTCTGAAGTAATGGTGATTTGACTGGGAATCAAGAGAACTCTGTAGCATTTTTTATTTACTCAGGCGTTCTCCATAGTATGTGTGTGACTGTCATTACAAGGATGATGTTAATAACATTAAAACTGTAGAAGATAAAAGGAACTGAGAATATGTGTTATACTTTTGAAAATGCTCAGAGACTGTTCCATTAACTTGTTGGATGTGTAACAGTGCTTCTTTAATTTGAATGTCTTCTTTTTCACAGGCCTGAGTTGCTGGAGGAAGCCCAGAGGCAAGGCTTACCATTTTCACAGTGGGACGGGCCAACCGTGGTTGAATGGCTGGAGGTACATCCCTTTACTACAGAGACCTATGCTACATGACACAAGCTTGTCATGCATCTCCTGTCTCTACCTGATGTTCTGGTCTTTTCATTCTTCTTTCTAGCTCTGGGTTGGGATGCCTGCTTGCTATGTGGCTGCCTGCAGAGCAAATGTGAAAAGTGGGGCCATCATGTCAGCTCTGTCAGACAGACAGATCCAGCAAGAGATTGGCATCAGCCACCCTCTGCACAGACTGAAGCTGCGGCTGGCCATCCAGGAAACCCTGTGGCTCACCAGCCCTTCGGCTCCACCCACATTGAAAAAGGTATGTTCACAGAGGCTCTGTGTGCCCTCTGTGGAGGAGGAAGGCAGAGCCCACAAAAGCAGTAGCCTGCTAATGTTTCCGTGCTGCTTCCTAATCATACAGGGTGGTTTCAACTTAAAATTTCAGGAAAGCATAGTACAACCCCTAACTTGGAGGGGTTGAGTGATCCAAAGAAAATGTGTGAACTGCTTGTGTAAAAGTGTGGTTAAAGCCAGGCGTGGTGGCACATGCCTGTAGTTCCAGCACTCAGAAGGCTGAGGTGGGAGGATCACTGTGAGTTCTAGGCCAGTGGGTTACAGTGTGAGCAGCTTGAACTGAGTAATGAGATCCCGTTTCAGAAAAGACCAAAAAATAAATAATTAAATAAATGAATAAAACTTGGTTAGAAAGGCCTTCTTTAAGAAAGAAGGCTTTTTGAAAGGTAGAAAATTGATTGTCACAAATGTACGTATGAATTTATCAAAACTGAGTAAGTGTAAGGACCTCTTGAGGAAGGAAAAGTTAACATTTTAAGTAGCATTTCATCCTTGAACTTTGATTTCTATTTCATAGTTCAAACAATAATTAGTACTTGTACGGTATATAAAGGTACTTGCTAAGCAAATTATATGCGGAAAATATTGTTTTTCTTCAAGTATACAGGTAGCAAAATATACAGATAAGCCCAGGAATGTATAAACCCTTGCATACAATCCCCGGGCATAAATAAGCACCTGGCTATGGCCCCTTGGCTATAAACTAGGTTGGGCTGCCCTTACTTTGTTGTGTGTGGCTTCTTTCCTTCAGTCTTGTGCGTGTGAGTGCATCTGCATCACTGCACATATAGGCGGGACTTACAGAGTAACTGTAATTTGTGGCAGTCCAGAGGTGCCACTGACATACAGTTGACATGCTAACAAGGGGTGGTCACCTCCCAGAAATCCACTGGTTCCTGGACAGTTCTAAGCTTCTCTTCTTTGTGGATGTCTTTTTTTCCCTACAAGAACTAAAGGAGGAAAAATGCCGAGTTTCCTAGATGCACTGTGGTTGTGTGTCACGGCACCAGCAGGTGCTCTGGGTCTTGGGAGCTGCATGTGTCTGTCCAACCATGCCTGTGCTCACAAAGATGCTGTCCACTTGGGGAGTAGTGAAGAGCCCTCAAAGAGCTTCCTGGTGACTCTTCTGATGAAACATTGGTGGTTATTAGAAGGGAAGAGCAGGCCAGCTCTTAAGTTGCAAAGTTCAGGGGTTTTTCATTTAGATGTTCAACAAACTCTTAGAGCTGTGTAGACATCCTTCTGAGCAGCAGAGCAAGGTCTGCCTACAGTAACTTTATACACAAAAAAGTGTGAAGATTTTGTTGTTAGAGAATTATGAAAATGAACAATAAGCCTTTTTTTTTTTTTTTTTAACGTATGGCCAAAGAACACTTTCCCTTGGTGGAATGTTTTGTAACCAGTATCAGTCTGTTCTGCAGCTATTTCCACATTAATGTGGGCTTTGTAGAAATGAAGATGCTGCATGGCTTTTTCAAAGCTTTTAAGAACCCTCTTTCAAAAGGGAGCTTCTGTGATTCAGTTGAACTATTGGCAAGGACTAGACCTCACATCAGAAAGACTCTCCATATCACCAGTTACAAACACAGAAATTGCTGTTCTTGGGGAGCTTACAGTGGGCTAGCAGAGTGGCCATCAGTCTCAGGTTTGACTCAGATGGTGACAAGTGCTTTGTTTTTGGTGTTTGCATTGTTTGGCTCTCCTGTGCTCACTATCTTGTGCCCTGGCCTCCTGGGCTTCCTCTGGCTTTGGATCATCTGCTGAAAGCAGCCACAGGAAGCCAAGGCCAGAGCATCCTGTTGTTAGCCTGTGTTGGGGTGAGACTGCTTTCTGTGTGTTTTGTTTTATTCTTTTGTTTTGCTGTACTGAGGCTTAAACCTAGTGCTTTGGGAGAGCCAGGCAAAAACCCTATCATGAGCTATACCTCCAACATGGTGAGACTATTGAAAATACTGTCTATTGAATCATCAGTTACTGGGGAAAGTAACTTTTCAGAAATATAAAGTATGTTCTCATCCATACTTTTAAGCATGTGATCTGGAAATTGTGTGCTGTTCTCCTTATATTCCGACCACACTGTTATTGTTTAAAAGAGGATGAGCCTGTGTTAATGATCTCTGGCTTTCTCTGTGGGTGCCTGAAATGAAAATGTGCAAAGAGTGACCTTTGCCTCGTGGCTCCTTACTGTGCCTGTGGCTCATATGTGCGTCCTTCTCCTTTCTGTCATGCTTCCCTTGCCCTGGATGTGGCTGGTGCACTGGGGTCACCTTAGACCACAGGAAATGTCTGGTTAACACATGAAGAGATGGAAACACTCGCAGCCACATCTCAGATGGTCAGTCAGCCCTGCAGCTCATGTTCCAAAGTGGGTTTCCTACTCCAGACCAAAGGGCCCTTTGTCTTTTGTTGAAAACAAAAGTTAATTTGCATTTGTTTCAAATATAATGTGTTCTTTTTAGGTTATTAGCTCATAGCGTATAGTCGTATTTGCATTTTTTAGATTTTTACAAGAATTTAGTTTATAGATTTGCCCCATTTAGAGAAGATGTAATTTGCTTCTCCTTTTGGAGAGACCTCCATTGAGCACTGCGTTGTGGTTGTCTAACGCCAACAGTCTACTGTATGAGGTTAGTTGGCATGGAAAAAGTCTGCTCCTTGCATGGAAAATTGAAATTCTTGGATTTTCATGAGTTTTTGCATGAGGCATTGATATTTTGAATGTTTTTCACTCAGTCAAGGTGCATGTTCCCTGCAGAATTAATTTGCTTACACTACTAAAGTTCACTAATACTAATAGTTATGTTCTTTTACATTCCTAACAACCTAACATCAGGAAGATGAGGAGGGAAGCTGGATAAGGTTGGAGTCTTTCTATAATATTTCTTCACTCTGTAGCAACAAAAAGCAATTGAGGATGTAAACTTGTGTGACCTGCTTTAGTAGGTGTTTTTCACACCTTAATTTATTCATAGTATCATTAATGACTTGAAGAATGTAATCAAATAAATCACAGGATTAAAGATTACATCTCATGGATAATTTTGAACATTTCCCATATGGGATCATGGAAATTACTTTGAACGAAGGTTGTTTTATTTATGAATAGAATCTTTTATACAAAGTCCCCTGGTTTAGGCAACTCCTGAGTTTATGTACATGTAGTTCGTTGCTGGGTTAGTTTTGTTCTAAAATGTACTGCTGAAAAAAATCATGAAATACACTTCTAAACCTGAAAGTTGGCACGGGGCCTTTCCCTCTATGTCTTTATATTGTTATTTGACTAAGTACTGCCCTACTGTGTTGAGTTAAAGATCTTAGTAATGGAGTTCTCAGAAATTAAGGCTTATCACTTCACAGAGATTGAATTTCAGCTGCCTAACTCTTCACTACACAGAAAGCTCTGCCCCATGTTTTACAGTGTCTGAGTCAGATGACTTGGTTAAATTCCCAGCATCCCTCTGCCCTCTTGGGTCTTTGGTGGGCACAGTGCAGTACCAGGGGACTTGTAGTTCTTCAGCTTTTCCCAGGGGCATGGTATTCGGGGGCTCAGAAGAGTTAGCATATGTCTGAAAGCAAGTATAAATGAGTTAAGATTAGAATTTGCTGATTCCAAGATGATGCTTGAAACAGTTGCTTCTGTTTGCATTTCTAAAGGTTGTTCAGTTATAGCACTTGGTTGTTTGTTTTGTTTGTTCATTTGAAAAAAAGAGAGGTGGAACTTGGTGACACATATGGGTCATCCCAGGACTTGGGAGGTTGATCAAGCATGTTTGTTGCAAATTTGAGACCAGCATAGGCTACATAGTGAGTTCAAGGTCAGCCTAAACTACATAGTAAAATCCTGTCTCAAAATTACAAAAAGTTTAGAAACAAAAACTAAGAAGAAAGAGAATAGCTACTAACTGGGTTTCCCTCCCTGGGTTTAGATACTCCCTGCCTCTAGAATCACTTAAATTCACCTAGTTAGAGGTCTCTCTACAGGACCAACAATGACCATCAGTGAATTAAGCAGTGCATTTCATAATTACGTAAGTTTCAATATATTCCAAAAGACAAAGTAGAATATGGTCACCACTTCAATATGAAATAGCATCAGAGACATAAAGTGTAGTTGAACAAGCTTAACATTTGCTTTTTGCAGTGACCATATAAAAGGGGCCCATGCAGAAGATTCCAGATTTACCCCACATGCAATGTTCTGCAGAAGCTTGGTGCACTTTGCCACCATCCTTTCCCAGACAGAGCTGCTAGGACAGAGCTATGCTAGCACAAAGCATTGTGCTTTGCCCGTGCTGGCACTGGGTGGCCTCACTCCTGACTGAGCTTTGGAAGGAACACTCAAGTGTGGTCAGAACTGTTCGCATATCAGATGTAAGATATGACTGGCTGTGTAAGAAGGCTGTGCCAGCTGCCAGGAGCCATTAATGAGCAGGACAGCTGCAGTCCCACTCTCATGGAGCTCGCATTTTACTGACCTTGAGACTGAGCGTGACTTGTCCATGCTTGGAGCATGAGGTCCCTTTGCACACTTCTTCAGAAGGCTGTGGTGGCAGCCAGGGAGAGGAGGAGGCTCTCCCTCAAACTGAGTCTGAGCTGTCAGAATCTGCATTATCAGCAACTGCAAAAGTAGTAAACAGAGATATGGAGGGTTTGCTTCCGCACAGCTTTTTATTTGGAAGATTTCTTCTACTCATTAGAAGAGAGCATAGTCAGCAGGCCAGAAAACATCAAATATTCAGGCTGTGAATCCCAGGCCCATGAAAGTATGACTCAAAGGACTGCATCATGGTAACATTGTTAGGTATCTTAATGGTTACCATAGTGGTATATTTGTCACTCATCATTTAAAGAAAGTTATGAAATCTTTTCTGTTAGAATTGGAACATTCCTCTTAGCTGAGCCATCCCTTGTATCTTGACTGGAACAAATAAAATACTAGAGTGGAATCCATTGTTCTAAACCAAACATGGAGGCCATGCATGGTGGTTTATGACTGTAATCCCAGAACTCAGGAGGCTGAGGCTGGAAGATATCAACTTAGAGACCAGCCTGGGCCTAGTGAGACCCTGTTGTAAGGGGTTGGGGATGTAGCTCAGGTTAGAGTGCTTGCCTAGCAGGTATGAAACCCTGAGTTCAAGCCAGGAGAGGATGGATGGGAATGGATAGTTTTTATTTTAAAGGATTCCTCAATGTACCTTAGGATTCCTGTGAATGTAATTTAATCTTCCTTAGCTGGAGAGCATAACGAACCATTCTCTGTGAAGTGGTTGTATATCATGTCTATTTTTCATTGTACAGACCTTGGACATATTCTGTTGAATTGGTTGCTAAGGATTTTATGCAGTTTAGTGCCATTATATAAGATACTTCTAAAATCTCAATTTCCAGTTCATTTTGTATATTTAGAAATGTTAATTTTTGTGTATTCATTGTATATTCAGCAGCTTTGCTAAATTCATGTATAAACCCTAATAGCTATTTCATAGACTTTTTCAACAATGATAATTGTGTCATTTACTAATAAAGAGAGGTTTATGTCTTTCTCAACTCATGCCATTTTTATGTTTTTCCTGCCATTACAGTGGCCAGGTCTCCAGCACAGGCAAACATAAACGGTGACAGTGGACACCCCTTGTGCTTCTTTCCGTTCAGGGAGACATTTGGTCCCTCATTGTGAGGTTTTTAGCTGCAGGCTTTTGGTAGATGACCCTTAATAGATTGAGGCGGTGGGTCTTTCGTCCTAGAATGCTGAGTTTCATAACTGAATGATGGATCTTGTGCCACATAAGGTATTATGAGACATGGCTTTCTTTGCTGATCTCGTAATTGGGCAAATTTCATTGATTTTTTTTTTCCTCCTCAGTTGGTGAACCAACCTATTCCTGAGTCAGTAAACCTACTTACCATGATTCCTTATTTTTGGTGTAGTGCAGACTAGTCCCAAACTCGAAATACTTTTGTCTCAGCCTCCTGAGTGCTGGGTTTACAGGCATGCACCACCATACCACACCACAAAAAAGTACGTCCTGAAGCCAGATGTGATGATGCACCCCTGTAGTTGCCAAAACTCAAGAGACTGAGCCCAGAAGTTGGCTGTTATAATGTCCTATGACAATTGGGCATTAAACTAAGATGGACATCATACTAAGAGTGGCATCAATATCTCTTTGCATAGGGAGTGCTTGTGCATAGCCACTGCACTCAATCCTGGTAATATAATGGGAATCTCTGTCTTTAAAGGTTGTGGGGAGGGGCTGGGGATTTAGCTCAGTGGTGCAGCACCTGCCTTGCAAGCATGAGGTCCTGAGTTCAATTCCCAGTACCCCCCCCCAAAAAAAAAGAAAGGAAAAAGTGTAAGTTATATCTGGGTCAGATTGATTGACAGTATTGTTTTTGTCCGTAGCCTTCCTGATTGTTTTCCTTTTCTTAGTCCTTTTTGGTTTTTTGATTGGCACATTGAACCAGTTGTTAAGAGAGGAGTGTTGAAGTCTTCTAAATTTAATTGTATTTTTCTGTTTTTGTTCTTAGTCTCATTAGTTGTTCATTTATCATTTTAAATTTACTTTTCCTGATTTTCAAATACACTTGTCATTTAGGAAGACAAAGTATTAAAAATAAAATCAAAACCAGCTAGAGCTCATTTGAATGATTTGAATTGATTCTTCAAACTTGTTCATGAGTCATGATCATTCTTTATTCCTATATTATTATATTGAAAACTAATTCAGAAAAGGAATTTATAGACAGGTATGATTTTTCTATAGCTTGGTAAATTGTCCTAAATGAGTCATAAAATTTTGCCAATATGATTTCTGTTGGATAAAACTTTAGGAATTTGAAAAGGTAGGAATGGGAGATCAAATATTTAGAAATTATGAAAAGCAATGTTGTCATTCATTTAGCCTTTAAGAATGGTGTCTAGATTAAAAATCTGAACTGATGTCACTCATTTGTTGAAATCAGACACTTGCATATGGGGACATGGACCACGAGTGGATTGGCAATGAGTGGCTGCCCAGCCTGGGCCTACCTCAGTACCGAAGCTATTTCATGGAGTGCCTTGTGGATGCTCGGATGCTGGACCACCTGACCAGGAAAGACCTGCGGGGGCGGCTGAAAATGGTTGACAGTTTTCACAGGTGAGGCAGTGCAAGTGGTTCTTCCTAACGGATCAAGAGACTTCACATTGCCACCGTAAAATAACCCCTTATTTTATAAATAGGAAGAGCTTCCAGTGTGGACTTATGTGCCTGAAAAGGTTAAATTATGATCGTAAAGAACTGGAAAGAAGAAGAGAAGAAAGTCAGCATGTAGTTAAAGGCAAGTACATTATGCCGGATGGATGCAGCACATGCCTGCTGCCTCCCAGGCAGCCTGGGTGATTGCCTGTTTGAAAAAGTATAGCAGCCAGCTGAGCTGGCACATACCTGCAATCCTAGCACTCTGGGAGGATATAGCAGCAGAGTCACAAGCCTAGCCCAGGCAGCTTGGACTCCGTGAAACCTTCTCTCAAAATGAAAAGTATAACAGGGCTAGAGATGCAGCTCAGTGCAAATCCCTGTGTTTATTCCTGAGTACCTCAAAAAGAAATCAAGGGCTTAGTGATAAGGCACTTGCTTACCACTTGCATTGCCCTGGGTTTGATCCCTAGGACTGAAAAAAAAAAAAGCACAAAATAATCATACATTTATCTGGGAATTACACAAATTACAGTTCCAGCTACTAAGAATACTAAGGCAGGAAGATCACAAATTCAGGGCCGACCTGGCAATTTAGTGAGACCCTGTCTCAGAACACTAAAACTAGATTTGAAAATTAGGGGTGCTAAGAATGTAGTTCAGTGAAAAAAGACTTGCCTAGCATGCTCAGGGCTCTGGCTTCTGTCTCTAGTACCACAAAAAAATAAATCAGGGAAGACTTTTAAGTGGAAACAACTGGCTTGGCATGATAACAAGAGGAGGGATGAAAAGGGGTGCCCTGAGACAGTGTGTGCTTATCTCAGTCTGTAGGCTACCCTCTTGGTGCTGGCATTCTTTCATGTAGTTTTCCTTTTGTTGTTGTACACTGTATACGCTCTCTCAGAGATGCTGCCTTATGCTATTAGATCAGAGCAAGGCAAACAAGCCACTGCCTTTTGCTTACTGGATAGAGGTTAAAACTACAGCTTTGGGAGCTTTTTCTAAGGCCTGTGGCAGCATGCAGGGCACACAGTTCTGCTCCCAGAGGGAGGGAGAGGTCAAGGCAACCAATAGCCTAGCACCCATAATTTTGTAATTTATTTATTTATTTTGAGACAGAATTTCACTAAGTACCCTGGTCTGGGATTACACCTGTGACCCTCCTGCCACAGCACCCATACTAACTGGGATTGCAGTCCTTACAGAAACCACAGAGTGTCCTGTGGGCAAAGGAAAGACATGTCAGAAACAGGCCAGGAGGTAGGAGAGGGCATGGCAGCCCCCTCAGTATGACAGGGACAGGCATTTTCTCTGAAGACAACACTGAATGTCATGCTCACGAGAGTCTCTCAGAATTCTCGGTAGTTACTAATAGCACTGCAGTGATGAGAAGAAATGAGACTTACTGAATAATGATCAAGCACTGTGTCAAGTCTTCCATAGTTGATTCATTCAGGCTGCATCGTGGTTCTGTTATTTTCATCCTCATTCTGATGTCTTTTTCTAAATAAAATAAAGGATTATCTATTGGCCAGGGATGTAGCCCTGTGGTAGGACACTTGCCTAGTCTGTGCAAGGCCTGGGTTTTAATTCTTTTAAAACAAAGAATACGTTGAGGTCTATTTAGAAAAGAAAGTCATGGCCGGGGATATAGCTCAACAACAGAGCGGCTGCCTGGCAAGTGCAAGGTCATGAGTTTGATCCCTGGTACCAAAACAAAGTTGAGAAAAAAAATCAGACATGAAATGTATTAATCCATTTAATTTGTTTTCTATATCCCCTCTCCATATTTTGTCAGTTGGCAAAAGCAGTCTTTGAAAAGATTGGTGGTCAGATATATTTTTACAGAGTGGCAATTTTTTGGTCTGTAATAGAATACATTTAATAATTATCTTTGTATGATATACGATTGCCAAAATCTAATATGCTGGAATGTCTTTAAAATTCTTTCTTTGTAATATATTAAGATGTTGATATGACCAAAGCTTCAGAAGCACAGGGGCTGGGGTATGGCTCAGTGGCTTAGCACCTACCTGGTAAGCACAAGGCTCTGAGTTTGATTCCCAGTACAACAACAAGAAAAAGTAAAAGAAAACGAAGGTCAGAAGGTCAGAAGCAAAGAGTTTGTGTTGAACTCAGCAAGGTATCTGAACTGTCATGGTATCTGCCCCTTTCATGATGGAGAAGCATTTCAGGAGACTCTGGGGTCTGTGTAGGAAACATGCTTATACGTGCTAGGTCTGACTCTGACCCTCAGCCTGATGTTTTTGCAGTCTTAGGATTGAACCCCAGGCCTTGTACATACTAGGCAAGTGATCTGCCACCAAGCTACATCCTCAGCCAATCATGCTGTATTGTTCCCTGAATATATCCTATCCACAATCTTACTGTGACACCTGAGTGCACTAGGGGAGGCTTCTAAAGGGAAAGTTTTTATTAGAATGAGGCAGAACCAAAACAGCTGTGTCTATGTGTGTGTCTGTCAGTATTTGTGAGTGTGGAGTCCATTTTCAGGAGCTGAGGGATCAAGATCCATGCTAGGAATCTTTCCCCTGCATTGCAGGACATGTATGATGAAGAGGTTTTCTGAAGCCACATTTACAGTTGTTTTGTTCTTTCACAGATGTGCTTGTTTGGAGCAATGATCGAGTGATTCGCTGGGTCATATCCATTGGCCTTAAAGAATTTGCAAACAACCTCATAGAGAGTGGGGTTCATGGCGCACAGCTGGCCTTAGATGAAGCCTTCGATTACAACACATTGGCCCTGTTGTTACAGATCCCGACAGAGAACAGAAAGGTGACAACGGAGTCTGTGCCTCTGTCTGCTTAGCCACAGTGTTCGGTTTTTCTGTGGTTCTAGAATACTTATTTTTCATTTGAATGGAGAGAAAATTTAACTCTAGACAACTAGTAATCACTTTCCATAACTAATCTATAATATGGTAGTTCAAAATAAGCAAATGCTTGATTTTTCACTATCTTTTCTTTCCAGTTTGTGTTGCAAGCATGTGAGTCTTTGAAGTCTTTGTTTTAAAAAATTGTAATGTGTAACATCCTTCAGATATATTTAGTTGTTGTTTTGTTACTTCAGGCTCGAAATGTCTTGGACAAAGAATTTGCCGACCTTTTGGTCCTTGGGACTGTCAGACGTTTTGATGTTGTAAGTTTTCAGCTTTTTTCTCCTCTCACTGCTAGGAATCAACCTCAGGGCTTCACATATGCCAGTTGAGTGCTCTACTACTGATCCTTGCTCTTGGTCCACTACTTAATTTTTGGCAACCTTCAAAAATTATTTCTATATTGTCAAACAGATTGCAGCCTGCGATCAAAGTCTTAAGTTGTGTTTTGGTGACAGCTGACTGTCCTGCCCCAGTTCTTCTGTTTGGAAGGTTTCTTTCAAAAGTATATTAAATTTCCCCTCATGCTAAATCATAACTAACCTGTTGCCATACATTACGATTGTCTTCAGTGAGCTCCAAGAGTACTTGATTTTCACAAAGAAGATGGAAGCTGAATCTGGAAGCAAAGCATTTGTTGGATTATTTGTAGCCAGAATATTTTGAAAATAAATAAAAGTACATTATATAGCAGGCAAGAGCTTGTCCACAGTAAGAAATAAAATATTCTGATGGGTGAGAAAATCACATCCCTGGTGCCCAGGACTGCCCTCGTTTCTCCAGTTGGGGCCCAGCAGGAATGTAATCATGTTTCCTCTCACACTGAAGTTCCAGTGTGTGCAGCACATTGGAAGGTCACCAGGAAAGGCTAAGTAAAGCAAAACAGTCAGGGGCTTAGGAGTCCTTCTGAAGGACAGTTATCTTTATTAGAGTGTGCCTGTTCTGTGTTTTCATTTGCCAGGAGCATGACAAACACTTTAGGAGAGCACCTTCATGGAGAGAGAAGGTTAGAGAAAAGGCCATTCATGGCGTGGCAACTGGGTCATCAGAGACACTCCCTGCAAACTTCCGAGTCTCTTCTTCCAAGTCTTCCCACTCTGTGCAGCCCAATGAGATCCAGATGGATGGTATGTGGTGGGCCATGTAATGCAACACTGGCTGGGAGCATGTGCGCGCTAATAATTACCTAGAGTGGCCATTGTATGTGTTACAAAGCATCTGAGTTTGGTTGCATGCCCAGGTGTCAATGGTTCAGGATTAGCCCTAACATTTGTTGGAAAATGGTTAACAACAATAATAGAATTTTTAAAAAATCTGTCTGGTTGAACCTTAGCATCCTTGCCCAACTAATAAAGTGGAGCACCCATCTGTGCTCTCAGGGCTGAGGCTGATGCACCTGTGGGGTGCAGTGTGTGGCAGGCAGCACTGGCTTGCCAGGAAAATTGCAGTGTGACACTTGGGACTTCTCTCCACACTAGAAGAAATGGCAGAGTAAACTTTAGCTCACAACTTCCAGCTTCTGCCAACTCTGTCTTTCCTTTTCCCTTCCCTCCAGTGTTATCTTTCCATATACTTACCTTGTGCCACCTGAAGAGGGACAGGGAAGAAGGCAGAAGCCTTGTGGAGACCGCTAGGGCAGCCCTGCTGCCTTCTCAGTGAGAGATGGCAAGGCATTGACCTTTCCAGTGCAGTCGGGATGGCCCTTATGTAACTGCTGACTGAAGAGTGCAGTTGGCTGAGAGGAGACCTTGAGTCCCTGACAGTCCTGCCCACCTAGTAAAAGGCACTGATAGGGTCCTGAGAGAGCCCACATCCACATCCAGCTCTTGTGGTAGCAGGGACATGACCTTGAGCAAGTCATGCAGCTGTGCTGTGCCTCAGTTTCCATATCTGTAACTTGGGCATCATAGTAATGTGATTTTGATGCTTCAATGTGTCATGTGGGTGAAGCTGATGGAGTCCTGAGCCTCGTGCATTGCTGACAATCTCAGTGTTAGGTGGAGACTTCATTCCTTCTCATTCCTGATGTACATGGTTGTGCTGTATAAACTGTACCAGTGGGGTTGTTACAAGTTTCCTGTTGTTAGCCCCCTGTGTAGGTAGTTTTCCTTTTTTCTCTTTCTTGCCTGTATGAAAATCAGAGAAAAATACATTTATATAAACTTTTTAAAGCTGAACACTTTCCAGTGTGTCTTTTAACTAGTAAGTTCTTAAGAATTAACACTTTCTCCCTCAAGGTGTCTTACAAATGTTGGCAAGGCATGGAAGTGCATGCCTGTAATTCCAGTACTTGGGAGGCTCAGGCAGGAAAATCATGAATCTGAGATGTATGTGAATCATAAATCCAGGTTAAGGCTATACTGAGCTTCATAGGAAGACCTTGTATCATAAATAAAATAGATAAGTAAGTAAGCTGTGACGGGCCTTGAGCTTAATTTCCATTGGCTTACTAAATAGTCTAAATGAGTACTCTGTTGTTTTCCCTGTACCTTCAATTTCTGTTTCACTATAAGAATCACATTTTCTCTCTGAACATTGCAAGCAATATTAACATAGCTGGGTGTGGAGATCACCTGTAATCCCGGCACTGGGGAAGCTAAGGCAGGAAGGTTGCTGAGAGCTCAGTACCAGCCTCGAATTCACAGGGATTGTAGGGCCAGTGTGAACTACACAGGGAGACCTTGTTTCAACAAAACAAAACAAAAATAAAGGGTAGTATTAATGAGTCTGTTTGTTGTTGATTTGTTTTTTTGGAGGCATTTTTGTGGTTGTGGTTGTTGTTTTGGGGTTTGGGGTGGTACTGGGGAGGGAGCCTTCTACCTGTACTACACATCACCCCTTCTTTTATTATCCAGAAAGGGTCTTGTTAAATTGTCCAGGCCTGGTTTGAACTTGGAGTTTTCCTGCCTCAACCTCCCAGAGTGCTAGGATTACAGGCATGTGCAGGCAAACTGTGTAACACTAAATTTAAATGGATTGAATAGAAAAAGTTGTCAGGGTAAATTACATAGAAGATGTCTATGCCACATTGGTAAGAAGGTGGACTGTTACAAATGACTTGCGAGGTGGAGAGTATAAGATAAATTACAGCATGTCTCCTAGACTTTAGAATGAAGGTTTACAATGACTGCCCAGTCTTACCAACACGGCCAGCTATCTGTCTTTTCTAGAGCTATGGCAAGATGTTGCTAAGAAGTATTCCTGGTATACTTGCAGGAAAACAAAACACTGTACAACTGGGAGTGTAAATATCTGCAGAAGATGTTGCAAGCTCTTTACCCAGTTTGTGACAGGGCTGTACTGCCTGTTTAGCCACCCAGTGTTTGTCAAACAAGGACCCCTGCCTCCGTGTTCTCCATCCTTTTTTGTAGAAACTGAGACAAGCTTTAGTCTTCTGAGAAGCACTGGCCATGGCCTCTGGGCTGTGCCTCTTTGCCTGCAACCCACCCTGAGAGCAGTGCCTGCAGAGCAGCTGGGGTTCCCTCCTCCCCTTCGTGCTGCTGATTCACCCCATTCATTCCTGGAGGTCTAGCTGTAGGGCACAAGGAAAAGTCCAGTTGCTATATCAAAGTGTGGCTTAAGGAGCTGCAGAGTAGCTATGTTAGGTGGTTGTCCTCTCTGTATGTGCACACTGAGGTGGTTTGCACTTCCAAGGGGCCCTATTGCTATTTTAGGTGCCAGTGTCCCCTTGGGTGGTGACAGAACCACTCTGGGCAGCCCTCTGATGCTCTTGCCTCACTCTCCCAGGCAGTCTTAGGATTCCTCAGTAGACACCATTGTAGGTGTGGAGATGTGTGTCTTACCTGTGCCCCGTGTGAAGTGTTAAAACTAACAGCACTTTGTTTTTGCACACTTCCTCTCATGGTTGTTGGAACAGGCAGTGTATCAGAAACACAGAAGTTGGATTCTGCGACAGTCAGGACTTCCTCCCGTTAAGCCTCCTGTTGGTGAGTAGAGAGCAGCGTAATCCCTGGAGATCATCCCTGTACAGCAGGGTGAAGCTGTAACAGGGCTAACAGTGTGGGTTTAGACCATGCCAATTTACATGGGGATCTTCAAAATGACAGAAATAGTAGCTCTGTACCCATCAAGGCGATTTTGGTTTTTAGCTGACCATAAAGAGGGCTGTGTGTCATTTTTGTTCTGTTAACTTTTATTTTTATTAGTAAGTTAGTTGTACTTAAATTCATCATGGAGAGTTGGTACCTGTACTAGGACATCTTAAATCTTTTTACCTCCCCTCTCCTGTGTCCCTTGTGTCTCCAGTTTTAAAGAAAAACACGTGCCACTGAGTAAATCCTGGAAAAACAGGACTTTTTGTCTTGTAAGCTGACAATAAATTGCACCTTGAGCAATCTTGCATCTTGCCTGATTTAGGAGCCCAGTTCTCAAATGATCTGTTTTTGACAGTGGGTTATTACCGAGATCCTCCTTTACCATTTGTTAATATTTATCTAACTTTGCCTGTCTGTATTTGTTTTATGAAGTTGGGCATGTTATTATTCAGTGTGTTTATAATCGTCATCCCTTCCTATGGAATTATTCACTTCACCTATGTGTAGTGACTTTCTTTGTCTCTTCTGACTAGTTTTGGCTTGAAGTCTACTTTGTCTAAAGTTAATATCACTACAAAATTTACACATTTTGGGTTTTGTTGTAAAACAGAGAAAAAAAGTGATCTAAAGGATACAACTGCAAGTGTGTTTAGGTGTGTTAAGATAAATGAACATATTACTAAATTTTTGTTGGATCACTGAACACAACTGTTTGCAGTCTCACTGTTTGAATGTCCACTTTGTATGCTTTAATACTGTAACTTGAACAACCATTTCTAAGATGACAATATGTAATCTATTATAATTTCTTACCTTTTTTTGCAATTCTGTATTACTTGTACCATTATACTGTTTTTTCTTTTTTTTTTTTCTTTTAAATAAAAAAAATAAAGTTAGGATCACTACTTCTTTCTCTTTTCCTGCGTGGAATATTATTTTCCATCTTTTGATCTTTAATCTGTGAATTTCTTTTTGAATTAAATGTGTTTCTTGATTCCTGCGTATCATAGGATTTTGTTTCTGGATCAGTTCTGCCAGTCTGTGTCTTTTGGTGGGGAATTGAAACCATTTCACACTGAGAGTTTTTACTGAAAACTATCGACTTATTCTTGTTGATATTCCTTTCCTTTTTTTTTTTTTCTTTTGCTTAACTGCTCATCACACCGGGTATATTCATTCTTTTTGATTTATTGACATTGTTGGCTTTATTGTTGTTTTCCAGAAATACCCTTAAAATTTTTGTTTCTTTTTAAATCTATTTTACTTTAAAGAGAAAAAAAAGAAAAACAAACAAAATTTCAAAGCACAATAATTAGAGATTGTTATCTTCAAGTCAGTTGAAATTTTTTGGTAATGCTGGTTTGGTGGCCATGAATATCTTGTCTTCTTGTAATGGAAATACTTTATGTCTGCATCAGTTATGAAGGAGAGTTTTGCAGGATGCATAAGTCAGGTTTGGAAGTTATCTTTTAGAGCTCAAAACACTTCAGTCCTCCTGGCCTTGAAGTTTTGTGTTGAGAGGTCTGGTGTAATTTTAATGCGTTTACCTTTCCATGTAATTTGTTGCTTTTCTGTAATAGCACTTAAGAGTTTGTCTCCTGTGATAGGTTTCTGGTACTAAAAGTATAATAAGCTCTCTTTTGATCATGCCTCCACTTATTGGTGTGCTTGTTTCTTTTCCTGTATTTGGGGAGTTTTCTGCCATTATTTCAGTGAATATTTTTATGCTGTTAGTGTTATCTTCTGATTTATCGCTTTTTCCAATTACTCATAGGCTTTTTTGTGTCATCCAGTGGTTGAGTCCATTTTTCATGTTGTCTTGTTGGTTTGTGTAGTTGGTCTCTGAAAGCACCACTGCCTTCGAGTTCTGAAATTCTGTTCTCACACTGGTCATTTCTGCAGCCCAAACTTTCAATATAATTTTTAATCACCTGGATTTCTGATTTTAACCTTCTTATGGACTCCAATTTTTTTTCTAAACTTGTCATTATGGTTTGTATAGTTTTGTTTAGCTCAGCTAGTTTGTTATTTGTGTCTTCTGGAAGCGTCTGGATCACTTTGGTTATTACTTCCATTATCTGCTTCGTTATGTCTTCTGTGGTCCCTCTGTGTACCTCTCTGATCTGTTTTCCAACCTCCTTTGAAGTAATTCTCATGTGTGGCTTATCCTGTTCTCTATCCCCTGGATTGGCTTCATGGAGCTAAGAGATTCTGGAGGCATTCTGTTGCCTTTTAGTCCCCCGTTTCTCTTGGGCTTTTTGTTTTATTTTGTGTTAAATTTATGGATGGTTTTAGTGTAAAGACTTTGTTGCTAGTGTAGAAATCTTTTTAAATGGTCACTTTTAGTGACATATTTTGGGCTAACTACAGTGGTACATCAGTTGACAAATTTAATCTGTTCCCTGATTCTGGGAAAAATGGCCACAGTTGCATCTGTCTAAAATAGATGGCCGCAGTCATGTTGGTCACCAGATGAAGAGTTTGTAAACAAACAGAATTTTGCCAAATGCTTCTGTTTGGAAACCAAATTATTGACAATCAAAAGCATTTGTGAACTGAGCTACCACTGTGACTCAGGCAGAGAGGTTTTTATGGGGTTTCAAACGGGAAGTAGAGAGGTAGAGTCCGTGGCTGTCTTTGATTGGTTTTTGTAATATGTTTGATAAGACCAGCTGTGCATCACAGTGACCAGCTGTTTCTAAGAAACAGAAGTAGCAGGAACTGATATCTGGGCAACTAACAGAAACTCAAGTACACTGGCTGTGGGAGTGTGGGGATGTTTCTGTCACTCTGCGATGTGGTTTAACAAGTGTAGATCTCTTTGCAATACCTCAGACCACTGAAGCTGTGAAGAATATGATGCCTCACATGTAGCATTATTTCCTCAGAATATGATGTTCAAGGTCATTTTCTTAGTTCATCAAGCTTGATTCCCAGTTCTTCCCATCCTCTTGCCTAACCCCATCCTCAGGCAATTACAGCACACAAGCCTTTCTGTACCTTGCAGCAACTCTCCTCTCTTGTACCTGACATCAGGAGCTTATTATTCTCTTCTCAACTGACTCGGTGACCACACCAAGTAATAAAAAAAATCTCTATCAGAAAATGAAATAGTTTTACAAATACTAATGAGTTCCTTAAATACAACAGGGCTCCACTGACACTTTTTCTGGGACATACTCTTAAATAGAAAATATTCTCATAGAACAAACTAAAGTATATGTAACTCAACTGAAACTATCCCATGCATATTATCAGATCACATAACAATGAGATTGGAAATCAATGGCAAAGGAAACCAAAGAACTAGTACACAGATATAGCTCAGAGACATAAGTGCCTGCCTGGCAAGTGCAAAGTATGGAGTGCAATTCCAGATACATAAAAAGAAAGGAAGGGATGAGAGAAAGAGAGAGAGAGAGAGAGAGAGAGACAGAGACAGAGACAGAGAGACAGAGAGACAGAGAGAGACTGAGAGAAAAGGGATAAACCACAAGTGCTCCATAAACAAATGGAAATTAAATAACACCATCCTAAAAAACCAATGTGTCACAGATGAAATTAACAAAGAAATTGGACAATTTATACACTTAAAAGATAACAGTAGTACAACCATACTTGAAATTACAGGACACGCTGAAAGTAGTCCTAAAAGGGAAATATTTAGCATT